TGGTATTTTAAGCATTCCTCACCAAACACCAGGCTGTTGATCGCAGCTGTTGATCTGCTGTTCCTTCTTCTTGATCATTACAACTAAGCCCCTTTTTATTCCTTGATTAGTTTCCAGCTGGATATGCTCCCTAATACAGCAGACCTGAAGCAGTACAAACAGAGGGATTAAATAGAATGGTAAAAGTGTAGGAGTTGCATAATTATTTTAAACGCATATTTATGCCAAATATCTAAACATGGCATGTGGCAGCTGGAAGGCATAACCCCCTCCTCGTAGTTAAGTTTGCAACATAATCCAAAATAGTGGGGCTTCTTTAGTGTCAAAAAAATTCGATAAGGAGTTCCTAGAAATCTCCTGGAAGGAAACCCATGTTCTAAAAATGCACATTTAAAGGCTTCATCACTCACTGTTGATTAAATGTAGTTTTTATCACAGCTCGTATAAAGGGCACCATTTCATTGCCCAGGGAACAAAAAAAAAACAAACAAAAAAACAAACAAAAAACCAAACATACAAACAAAAACCCCATACCTGTTTATGTTGTAGGTGGTTGTCTGAAGGATCATTTTCACAAGGCCAAACTCCTGCTTATGGTGTCATGGTTAAACTCCCAGCTCACATTTTTCAGTCCAAGTATGCCAGAATTCAGGATTCAACTGACTCAGCAATAATTAGTCAGGTGAAATACAGCTGCGTTCTGGAGGCAAAATTTGATGTAGTAAAAATGAGAGTCCCCAGCAGTCTGAAAGTGAAAGCATTTATAGGGGAAAAAAAAAAAAAAAAAAGAAGAGGGGGCGTTTTCTGAAGAACTCTTATCTGAAAGTGAGAGCATTTATAGGGAAAAAAAAAAAAAAAAAAAAAAAGAAAAAGACCCCAAACCTAAAGTGAAATAAGTAAGAATATATAAAAAAGAATTCATAATGATGCACTTCATTTCTTCCACACCAGCATTAGGCATGTGTAACTGCCTAAAAAGGTTTGAACAGGGAGAGGTTGCCATTGTGAATTTGTAATACTTTCTCACTACTGTTGGAGCCTTACATTTGCATGTACAAGTGCAAGTGTGTTCTTGGGTCACATCACAAAGTGCATAAAACAATGGCCAGCTGAAATCAGATGCAAGTCATAGGATGATCTCGTAACACCTGAAGTGAATTACTACTCCTTTTCTTTAGTGTAACATCTTTAGATAAACCAAGTAAACAGACATTCATCTGAACTTGAGCTGAATGAATATTCTCTAGAGAAACTATTCGCAGAAGTGTCAGCTGAATGTGGTATGTCCAGAGGTCTTAGATCCAACTTCCTGCTAAAACCAAGAGTTTCACCAGCTGCAGCTCTCATGCAGCTTTTAAAATAGCATAGGACAGATTCTCCGTAGTCTTCCAATGCTGCATTATCCTGCACCCAGTAAAGAAAGAAGCTTTTTCTATTGTTCAAAACTGTTAAGCCTCTGGCTTTCATAGATCGGCTTCTATTGAGAAGATTTTGGCTTTCACTTTACAATTCCCTCTCAAGTACTTTTAGACTGCAGCTACATTTCCCCTTAGTCTCCAAAACCACATTTACCAGCAGGTTTTTTGTTGCCAGAAAGTCAAAGCTAATACAATTTCATACCATCAAGGAAATTCATGCAATATTATAGTATAAAGACTAATTGATTCTACATTTAGGGAATGAGATTTCCTTTACATAGACTTGTCTGGATTCTCTAACTTGTCAAAGAAAACAGTGCACTGGAACTGGTGCATTTTGACCAACAGAATCAAAAGATTTCTTAGATTGTGTGCACAAACTTCCCCTCCTACTAAAAACCCCTACAGAAGCATGAGGTTGTTATCAGGATTGCTGCAATAATTTTGAGGCTGTTTGCCCACGTTTCACTTCAGACTTGAAGCTTATGGGGCTCTCACCTTAGGTACATCTAATTCTGTCAGAATTTTGTTAGCAAGGGCATAGATCATACAGACAGATCAAAAGCCTTCAGTTTTTAGTTGCCTCAACAGAAGCTCTTGCAAGGGAGCACCCAGCATACCAAGACTGTCAACTGTACAACTGTGCCAGGACAAGAAGTGCAGGGGAGCCATGAAAACCAGTCAGAACTTGGTATAAGAGAGATCTCCTGTTTCTAATTCTCTCCCTTTCTTGTAGGGTTCTGAGCAAAGCTCCTGTGTCTTACAATGCATGTTTGCCACTTTGTGGGTAGTGTAGTGTGTCTACACATTTATTTCAGTTCACGTGTTTGGCACATAGCTGCTGGCTAAATTTGTCTCCATGTGTTGTCGTAATCTCATCACCCTTCATTCCTTTCTGTTTCATGTATCACATCAGTCCTCTGCTGTGAATTTGTCCTATCTTAGAGCAAGTCTGAAAAAAGTGATTATCCTTCACCCATGCCTTTGCACTGGATTGCTTCAAAACTGACATCTAGCCAAGACCATGTCACCTCCAAATGCCACTGGACTTTTACTTCTGTGCTAATCCAGCAGCCCACATTTGAGGACACATTTTGATGAAAACCAGGTGTGTTTTAGTAAAGCCCAAATTATTGTTCTATCCCCAAGAACATTCACATTGAATTCTGCATCTTGCAGTGTGATGGGGGTGGTTGCTTGGTTTTTTAATCACAGCTCAGGCTCACCGGGTGTTCACAGCTCCAACCAGGATTTCCTAGTCCAGAGCCCAAACTTCTGGTGCCAGAACTGATAGCAAATCTCTAAACTCCCTCCCTTTACTGCATGACCAGCAGTCTCCCACCTTTTCAAGTGGGATAACACTAAATATATTGTGACATGAAGAAAAAGTAGGTATTGTTAAATTTTACAGAGGCACAGAGAACATGCTGTCTGTGTCCTTCTTTTATCTCAGGCCAGAAGAAACTAACTTGGCAATGAGAATCTAAAATAAATATTTATTAATATTTAACTAAGCTTATCAAGAATAGTGGATCTGGTAAGAAATAAGGTGCACATCTAATATTGCCTGTTTTTATTACATAATCCCTATTACTTTATCATATAAATGGCAAAGGAAAATATAAAGATATATGTAATATAAAATATATTTTGATTATATAAAATCAAAATAAACACACTAAAACTGTATATAAATTTAAAATATATTTTATTACATAAATATAAGATGAAGAGAAATATTAAAAATAAGTAGAAAATAATAAAAAACTAGTTGGAATATACAATTTATAAAGAAAAAAGCTATTTACATTGTACTATTGAATATTTTCTGAAAATCTCCTTGTGTGTGTATTTGTCATATAAGGGATGTGAATTCTGGTTTATGTTCATGAAGAACCAAAAAGAAAGAAAATTGTTTATTGTTCTTGGTCAATAACTTCACATGTGGCAGGGAATTCTGAGATTTTTTGACAGACTAGTATAAAAAATATGTGTGCACAGCTTTTGGTCAAAATCATGTATTTAGAAATACTTATAATACATTTTTCATTATTGAAGTGAATGATTAAATATACATATAATTCAATTATATATATATAATTCAACTATCTGTAGAGTAAAATTCTGAAAAATTTCGTATGGAAAAAATGAGCACAAAGTGCTGCCAGAAAATGTCAGGCTGAGAGCAGGACACCAACAGGATGAGCAGCCTGGAGCTGTTCACCTGCTTGATAGCAAACAGAGAGAGAGCTTTTAATTTTTTAGCATCAGCATTTTCCCAGTTTTCTGCTACAGCAGAAAATTATCAGCTGTTCTAACAGGCCCTTTAAATTATTAATCCAGCGTACTGTTTTCTTTGCAAAGTGACACAGTTAAAATACGCAAAGGTTTGATTTTAGATATCTTGTTTGCCATAGTGGAACGTGGCCCGAAAGATCTCTTTGCATTACGGAGGGCAGAGATGATTATGTTTTGCTACATACACTGAAATACTCTAAAGCAAAGTTCAAGTGAATTATTTAATATCAAATATGTGAGGCTAAGGAACTCAATTCTTCAGTTTCCCAAGCATGATGAATTTCCTTCTGCCATTGGCGAAGGCTTTTCACAGATCCAGAGGTATGTCCATGAATTTTTCAGGGGTTGTGGTGGGTCATTGCAGTTAGTACTGTTTGCAGGGAACTGTGGGGCTGTAAATGAGTTTACTGCTGAGTCAGACATTTTGAAATGTGTAACACAGCAATTGCACAAGTAGCCCTTATTCTAAAACTAGTATTTTTTAAAGGAACGCTGACTGAAATTCTCAACAAAATGGAACTGTGGTTATTGTTTTCAAGAAAACGTGATAGGTGACTGCTGTGGCCTTTAAAGCAGTAGGCTGTCTGTGAAGTGCTTTGTGGAAAAAGGTTTTATTAAGTCTAGCTGTGCCTCTGGGACTGGCACAGAACTGCCAGTGACCAGCTGCATTTTGTGTAGTGCTGCTGAGAACAGCGTGTCAATATTTGTATAAACAGTTTGTCCTTGTTGTTTTACTGAGGGGAAAAAAAATTGTGCAGTTTCCAACTGTGTCTAAATATGAGCCTTCCTGCATCTTGAAGAGTAATCACATTTTTGAGTAAAGCAGGAAGTGGCTTCTAATCACTGAGCAATCAGGGGAAGGACCTGTGCTCTAGTAATGTGCCTGGGGTTTGCTGAGCCATAGCTGTGGGAAATGCAGGGATACCAGGATAACTGCTCCTCTGAAGCACTACCTATGAGATCATGTGATAGCAGGAACTAACTACAAAGAATTTAAACCCCCTTATATCCACCTATAGTGTGGATATTTCTCAGATTCATTGTTGAATTTGGTTACAGAGAATGAGGGAGAAAACAGAAACAACTGAGTGCTCTGTGACTGTGTTCATTACGTATACATGAGCATGTTAAGGATAATTAAATACCTGTTGCTACTCTTGCTGCTCCATCATGAAAGCAACCCCACTGATATTCTTGTTCCTTAACAGTTACAGGCACAGAAGGATATTCCACACTGATACAGAGCAGATTTGGGAAAAATTCCCTGGAGTGAGTAGAATATTATAGAATAGCAGACTCTCATTTTTTATTTTAGAAAGGCACTGATCTGTCTTTTGTACTTTGCTTTCCTGACTTGAATTTTTTTTTTGTTTTTTGTTTTCGTTACAGGTCACAGGAATTCTTTTTTTCATTTTTTGGGGTTTTTTTTGTATACGACTGCTTTCAAAGGTTACAATGAAATGACAAAGCATAAGAACCACTACAGCCTCTGTCTCAGTCTTGAGAAAGCATCTAAAAACCCCAAAACAGTAATATATCCCCTTCTCCAAGCTTTGTTTCCCCCTGGAAAAGTTCCATATTCCCACCTTCTAAAGAGAAAACCAAATCTTTCAATGTCTTTTGAGCCATTTGGTTTGGGTCTTTAGCAGGGTATGTTGTGCAAATGACAAAAAATCAGTGAGGACAGAGAAGCTGCTGGTTATGCTGGGCAGAGGACTCTGGACAGCAAAAGGCTGAGTCAGAGGGAGTGTAAGGAGGCATCACATGCATCTCATCACATTTACAGAGGGCAGCAGCTCCACTGAGCAGCATTCTGTAAACTGAAAGGTCAACATCCCATACAGGTACCACCAAAACTGGGAAGTTTCTTTACATCTGGAATTAGGTTTGGGGGTTTGGTGTTTTGAAATGGTTTTTTTGGGGGCTTTCTTTCTTTTTTCATGAAATCATAGCATCTACATTGCTGATACAACACAGCAGAAGAAAAATTCACAGGAACAGTAATGAAAAGTCATTCATTTTAAACTGGTAACTTTAAAGGAGAAAAAAGTATAACCTTACACTCTCCAATATCTGTTACTCCTAAAGAAGGTTTCAGAACTTCAGTAAGGTGAGAATTAAAAGACTAAATACAAGAATTGTTACCTGAAACTTAAAAATTAAAATGTTCCTAAACAATGTATTCAAAAGAAGGCAGTTTAACAAGCCTGCCTGTCAATATTTACAATATCATCCAAGTTACAGAATTATTTTGAAGACAAACACAAACATACATTTTTCATTCAAAAAGCATATCGATAAGAAATTAAATTCCCACAGAAAGCATCTATGTTTTCCAGGATCTTCTCATTACTTCACTGGATTTCATGGTACAAATCTATGCAAATAAATCAGAAGTGAGCTGATAATAGGTATTAGCCTGTATTAGTTTAACTCTAGTTTCTATACAATTAGAACATCAAAGCTTGCTAGAAATTATACATATACATAATTTAAACAGAGTTCATTAATTTCTTTTGTAATTTTTATAGTGTTTGTAATACAGCAGTTCCTCAAAATAAAAAAACTGGGGCAACTGTGTTTCTCTAAAAGCCATGCATCCTCTCTCAAAAATACTTAAATACCTAAACATGAAATTATATTGCTAGCAGAAGATGTAGCCACTGCTTAGGTGAAGCAGTAGTATGAAAAATTAAGACAAGAAGAATTTGAAATTATGACTTTCATAAAGCATCTCAGGAAGTACATAAAAATATTCACTATGTCAACTAGAAAATACTAATAAGAAGGAATAGCCAGAGATGCTGTTTAGTCTATTAAAGGAAATTCCCCCAATACATTCCTCTTTAGAGAGAAATCTCTAACAGTTGTGCATAACAGGCAAAAAAAAAAATTATAAGAAGCATTCACTGATAAAAAGAATCACCACCAAGGCAACCACCAGATAATCATCTGTGAGAAATTGAAGCCCTTGACTGTGTTTACAGCCTCCAAGAATCAAGGTCAGTATGTAAAGTGTATTCAACAATTATAAAGACTTTTAAACATTTCTGAAAGTGTGGGTGGATGCCAGCCATGAAAGAATGGCTATGGACACCAGCCATGACAGTGACAGTGGCCATGACTACTAAAATCCACTGAAGTTTTAAGAGTGGGGTGGAACTGAAAAATATGTAGTGGTGTTTTATTTCAGTGACAGCATTGAACCATCAACACTGGGCATAAGTTTGTCCACCAAATAGGGCCCTTGTGACCATTCCTGGTTACCAGCTTCTGCAGTCAGAGTCATGTGCCTGTGTTCAAGAGCAAACACCAATAAGCTTTTTATCTTATCTCTGTTAATCCTTACACCCCTTTCTTCAAACATAAACAAATCTCAAACTCAGGTACTAGACCTTAAGGTCTAATAAGATAAAAACAGTAAAAAGTAAAAAAAAAAATACGGAGAAAAATGGAAAAAATTTAAAATATATATAATTTGCACAGCCAAGAAAGGAGAAAGTGTCTTGACATTTTGGGAGCCAGTTGCTAAAAACGAGGTGCAGCAGGAACAAGATCTAGGCAGGGCTTCCACAGTACAAAATGTTCCAAATGGAACAAAACAATGATTTGCTGTTTTTATAGAAATACCTGATGAGTTTCCCAAGAGGAAACTCTCAACAGATTGGACTAATACCAATAAACCTTGACATAAAGAAGGTTAAATCAGCTCAAATGGAGAGTTGTCTTGCCAGAAATATATTATACTTGAGATAAATCAATGGTAGCTTGAGAGGCTGCCCACAGCCATTTCTGTCAATGTTGTTCTGAAAAACAACACTGCCTTGTTCTTCTCTCTAACAGGCAGAGTCAGAAATCACACTTCAGCTGTACAGGATATTAACTTGTTCCTATTGATGATTGATTTGCCCATGGGAAATGTGGGCATCTGCTTAGAAAATCAGACTGAGAAAAAAAACCCCAAACATCTTCCCTGCCATGGTTTCTGATAACTGCAGCTTTACAAAGCTGTTTTATCTCTCCTGGTGAGTGGGCTGGTGTGTAGTGCTGGGGAGAGGGGGAAGAGCAGCTCCCTCCAGCACCAGGTATCAGACACCATCCTTTATTTCCCTGTCTCCTGGGAGTGAGCAGCAGCAGCAAGCCCAGCTTGACACATTTTCCCACCACCTTCCTCTTCCCTCCTTGTAGGGGGAGCTGCTCAGCCCCAGCCAACTTCTCCTCCCAGGTCTGGGAGTAGCAAAATTCAGTATTGCAAGATTTGCTCTGTCTTTGGTGCATACATTCAAAGGAGTGAATTGCTATGCCAGGTAAGGCTAGAATCTAGGAACACAGTGAGAGAACATATGAAGGAAAAATGTGACTCCAGAACAAATAAAGATTAATCCTGTGGTTTAATTTAATTTCCTATTAAATGCTTTATAGAACATACAGAAGGGAAGATGCAGCACAACATGAGATGAGGACAGTGTAATCTTATTTTCTCTGAAATCTCCCCCAGAGGATTACATTACACTTACCTGTCTAAGGGTAGCTTCTGACTTTTCGTGTAATTTCAGTTTTCTATTAGAGGACATAACTCTTTTCTTCTTTGGGAGACTACTTCACCCTAACATAAACTTTTTTTATAAATGTATTTACTATAGAAGTTTTTTTTGTATATCTGTGTCAGTACTTTTCCAAACGAGTGAAAAAATTTGGCTTGGGGATTTCTCTAGCTCCTTGCCATTCTGCACAGAGAATTTGCTTTCCCATCGCTATCTTTTTATGAACTGTGTGATTTTACTTTAACAGTATTTGTATTTCAGATCTTCATTCATATATGTTATAAAGTCCAGTAAAATTCTGATTCCCACTTTAAAAAGTACTAACAAACACCTTTTTGGGTTTTGCTTCAAATCTCACATCAAAGGCAAAAATCTCTAAGAGGCAAAATGGGGTAAGGAAAAGGGTTTGTTGGAGAAAGGGAGAGAGACAAACTTGAGCAGTTTGGGGATGGGGATGATAATGGTGGGCTGTGGCTTGAGGTGTGGTTGTATATTCACTATATTCACGTCATGTTATTCAAACATAAACCCTGGATGTCCTTAAGAGGACATGAATGGTGTATCCTGTCAAGAATTTAGTCACCTTTGTCCTCATCATTGTCCCTGAGTGGGAGGGCCCCACGCTGAGTACATCTGAGCAAACTATTAGGGAGGATGTGGAGAATCCATAACCAGAATGATGATAGAATCCCAAATTCTGCTGCTGCATTGGAGGTCTCCAGTGGAACACATGCTGCAGAGCTGGCTTCTCCTATTTTGGCTGCCCGACACACCACACCAAAATATTGGACTTGATTGTTATTCTGAGGTCCTGTGAAGTGTTGAACAAAAAAAGAATTATTTCCTCGTGTTCTTTTTATCAATACCTAGTATGAGTTTATTCTAAACTCCATGAATTCCTCAACAGCATCATCTGGCAGAGGAATACTTCTTCTGTGATTGAAGGTAGGGTTTCTAGACTGCCAGCACATTGACTCAAATTTTTAGGGTTTTTTTCCTATCTGAACACAGATAAACATCAAAACCACAGGATCAGACTAATCTTGATTCTCTGTTAACCACATATTTTTGTTGGTTACTTGAACGTTCAAATCATTTGAATGGGTATGAGCAATGGTCCAGCAGAAATGGGATGGGACTGCTGTGATCTGAGTAACTGAGATAAACAGAAGATGGCCAGCATTCTCTGTTATCCATGCATGGACACTGTAATCTAAAACTCTTATCTTTCCTTTTGCTTCTTCTTCTTAAGGGAAACTCACATAACTGGGGCTGCTGAGGGAGTCACAGCCTGCAGAGGGTGGACTGACTCATTCTCTATCTTATTTCCTTTTTACACTGCTCTTCAGCTCCATATTATCTGGATGCTCATAAGCCTCACGTCCCCCATTTCAGAGCCAGTACCAGTACAGGGATTCAGGAAGCCTCCTGTCCTCTCCTGCTTTATCTTTGGATCCCTCCACTTCCTGGTGTAACGCCATGAAATTAAGGGAGAGAAGCTGAGGAAAGGAGAAAAGGAAGCAATGTATACAAAATTAGAACAAAGCACTGTGTGCATTTCTACTGCATCTAAGCAGTGAGGAAACAATGCAGCAAAAGGTTCTGGATGGTGGAAGCAGCATGCAAGGCTGAATAGGAAATATGTACAGAGATATACTTTATAAACACTGCCAGTGGAATTACTGAAAGCTTTTCTAGAAGGAAGGCATGCATTTATGCTTATAAATGTCTTGCTGATCAGTTAGTTTCCATCAGTGTAAGGGATCAGCTCCTACATTTCCTGAGTTATTAGGGACCCTGGCATACATCACTAACCATGCTTTTATGCCTGGTGATGCCATAGCACTTAAAGTGGTTATTGAGCCTTTTTTTGTGTAGAGCTGAGCAGCAATGCAGCACAAGCCAGCCCATAACTGGAAAATCTAGTTCTGGACTGTTATTATAATTTTTGACTGGCTAACACATGACATAGGACTTCCCTGAAATCTTGTTTGAGCAGCTCCACTCTTGCAAAACTCCCTCTGCAGGATCTTTGTAATTATCAATCAGTGAAACAATAAGAGATGGAGAGGAAGGAAGAGCAGGAACAATAAAATGGGCACATCTCCCTACATATGAGGAGGTTTCAGCCCAAGACCTGTGTTTTCTGTTGCCATCCAAGCAATGTTCTAGTTTTTATTAAATACAAAAGAAGGAAACAGGTAGTAGTTAAAGTAGCTCAAAGTAGTTAAACAATTTCCTTACTTTAATAGCTCTTTCCAAGTCTTGAATACATGCTTAAAAAACCAAAATATTCTAGGAATTTCTGAAGTAAAGATCCATTCATATCTCCTAAGGTAATAAGGCTCACACAAATTTATGTGCTCCTATTTCGAAAAAAAAACAGGATAAATATCAGATCACCTACTTTGGTGCCAGTGAGAAACCTGAAGAACAATTAGGAATTTTGGGATGAATTAGGAGAATCCCAGTATTAACTATCCAGCATGATTTAACCCTGAATGTGATCAGGTTCAGATTTATATTTTATGCCATAAAGTCTTTCAAATAATCTTGATCAGAGCAGCCATGGATATTTCCACCTGATTCTCATCCTCAATCAGACTTTAAAAGGTGAGTTTAACTCCCTAAAGAGAGGGGAGAACATCCTTATTCTGGTTTTGCCAGTTGTCAAGTACAAGATATTAAGCAAAAATATGTACATTCTTGAGTGCCTGTCCACTACAGAAAAGTGAACCAGTAGCCTACAGAGCCATCTTACCTTATGATCTCCTTCTTACCATTCTCTGTTGGTGCTCTAAGCAAAACTTCACACTCGACACCTCTTTGGAGAGCTCAGGCACTCTCTGGGGGTGACAGTCCCACTCATTGCACCAGGAACCTTGCTGCCCAGCTTGAGCACTCTGACTCACCTCACAGGTCCAGAGCAGCCCTACTACATGTTGGGGTGGCTGATCCAGATGGTCAGAATAATTTTGAATGGTCATTTTGAATTTGGGTGAAATCAGCAGCTGCGTACTGAGGTGACATGGAACTCCTCAGTTAATCTGGACTCATTTCATACATAGCTTTTTCTTTTTTATCTCTTTTTTTAATGCTGTTTTGCTTATTCTGGACTCCCCTTTGAGTCCTGGATCCTGTCAAAAGCAATGAATGACCATGTATTTGGAGGCTCTAGAAAAAAATCTTCAGCCTAAACAAAGTTTCCTAAATCCTTGTAATTTTCTTTAAAGTAAGTAGACGTATGTTCTTATCTGGGCTACATTAGGGCATATGGCACAATATTTCAGTGTGTCATTCAGGAAGGAAACAGAAACATGCGAGTCTTTGTAGATAGCCAAAAAGACTATTTGAGGAAGAAGAAGTCACTGAGCTAGCTAAATATTGTAAAGGCACACTAGGATTCACATGAATTAGAAGATAAATGAAATGTAATCATACATAGGACTTCAAAAGCTTCACAAGTTGCATTGTATATCTCTGTATTAAATATGCTGGATTTAGTTTCCCATAATGGTGTCTGATACATGACTATTATGATTATGATTTCCATAGCCTTCATATATAATCGCTTACAGTGCTAAACTACCACTACAGGTAGAAGGTTTTCATAAGATTGAGTAGAAACCTCCCCTGTCTTAAATTATGACCTTTTTTTTTCCTGACCTGATAATTTGATTTCCATTGTCTTCAAAATACATTTTTTGTATTTTTCAACTATTATGAGCACTTTCACACTTCTCTGTTAGTTTATCTCCCAAACTTTAAAAAAACAGTTTTGTTAATTTTTTAATTTTCATTATATTTGCATAAGCTCATTTTGTTCTAATGCTTAATGCAACTTGTCTTTCGTTTGTTACTTAAACACCATAACCTCCTTGCATATTCTTAATCAATTAAAAATGAAAAAATACATCTAAGCTGTCAAAACTATTACAAAAAAATTATGGTCATACTTTCAGATTGCATATATTACACTAGATAAATACTTTTAAAAAAAATCTATGTATTTCTTGCAAAAATTAGCTCATAACAGACGTCCATTGCCCATTACATTCAGCTGGTGTTTATTTACAAAGTGGTAATGTGCATGTACACAACATTTTTATCTAGAATGCACTTGACATTTTCAACCAAAAAGTGTGTAACAAGGAGAAAAGACTTTTGCCTCCATTATGAGATTCTGCACTTGGCTCTAAGAGGCTTCTCTAAGAATATGATGAAACTGAGCACCTTCCCTTGTACTATGAAACTGCTTGTATTTCAGCCATATAATGTTGTTTTTGGGAAGAGCTCTCCTTGACAATGTTGACTTGGATATTATCAGCTATAATTCCTTTCAGGTGTGGCTGTTATGCCAGATCTGTGACTCTAACACAGGCATCATATTCAGAAGATATCTGTGTATGCACTTTCTTCTTGCCCTTAGTATATATGAAGAAATGAGGCTTTCAATGTTTTCCTCCTCCTAAAGCCTTGTCTGTTTTTTTCCTATATGATTTCCATGTATACCCACACAGACTCAAAGCAATTCAGAACTCAGCCTGTAGTTAAGCAGAGATTTTTCTATAGTGTATCATAATTCAGTGTAGTCAGATACATGGTAACCTTTTTTTTCTTCTTGTGCAATTCATTTATATTTCTTTTTCTGCTAGAGAAAACTCTTCTGCTTTATTTCTGTTGACCTGGTTTTATGGTTTTGGGTTTATTCTGTTTCTTTTTCATTCTGAAAGATGTGAGTTCTGAACAAATGTTTATTATTTTGACTGCAAGAAAAAGAAGTGAGTAGAATATATCCCAGAGATGGATTCAATTCCTGGTTACAAATTAGATATAACATCTGACATAAAACTGTCCTTGTAAAAGTGACATCTACATGAATGGTTAAACTACACAATTAATCTGGTAATGGGAAATTAAATGTGTTATCTTGCATGAAAAATAGGGGAAAAAAACCCAACACATATCCTACACATAAAGAATCTCTTGTAAACCCAAGGTTGAATGGATGAATGTAGCTGTCAACACAGGGACATTCCCTGTCTCCCATTGCCCTTGATCACCATTTCAGTTTGTGTTCATAGATACACCACTGGACTATTTTAGCAAAATAACTGATTTTATCAATAAAATTACTACATCTTTTCACTTCTATTACAACATGTCAGAAATAATCACTGGCTTTGGCCATTGTACAATGTTTTCTCAATTTTCCAATTTTTTTTTTTTTGGAGTACTCATGAATTTCATGTGGACCTTTTGCCCAGCAGGTCTTAGAGTTTGTCAGGATGTCTCTGGTGTGGCTGCCACCATCCACTGCAGGCAGCCTCCAGTAACCTCTGCCAGGCAGCTGCCAGCAACAAGTCAGACGTGTTCATGCACTGAAGTCTGGAAAAGCTCCTAATTTCAAGATCTTTACACATTGTTTTCCTAAAATGGGAAGCTGACCTTTGTCTCTTAGAGTCCTTCTGGACATTGCTGACATTGTCAGTTGTCCAACAACTTTGAGAAAATCAGTTCATCCACAACTTCTGCACCAGCTCCTTGCATGGCAGAAGGATACTATTAGAAGTCTCCCTGGAGAGCTGCTGAATTTAGAACAGTGAAAAAAACCCAGAGGGATCTGAAGCAAAAGATTTTCCTCTGGTGAGAAACATGCTCAGAAGAACTTTTGTGACAATATAAGCGAGACAAAGAGGTTTTAGTATCCTTGCTAAAGGTTTTTGGCAGCAAAAGATGAGACCTCCGCACTGCACACTTCAAGTATGAGAAGAAACTGCACTGTGGAAGTGTCTATTATTTTTTATTGCCAATAAAAATGACTGAAGGTGGCTTGTCCAGATGTAGGCTTGCACACTGTAAGGCATCTGCAGACAGTTGCAACTCATGTGAAAATGTACATTTAAAGATTGTAACAGCAGTGACAGAAAAAAATTATTAACCAGTCATGATTTTAGTTAGATATAAAGAGTATACATAAAATAAAATTGAACAATAAATTGTTACATATATACAAAACCTGCAAAACCATACAGTTCAAGATTGTAACAGCAGTGACAGAAAAAGAATTATTAACCAGTCATGATTTTAATTAGATATAAAGAGTATACATAATATAAAAGTGAACAATAAATTGTTACATATATACAAAACCTGCAAAACCTCTCAGTTTATCAGTAAGTTACACATTGACATGGAAATTGGTATGTTACTCCCTGGACTACTGTATAAGCACATAACAGCATGTTATGGATAAAGGGGTAGGGTGAAAGAAAAGAAAGAAAGGAAGGATGAATTAAAGAAAGAAAGAGAAGGAGAGAGAGAGAATTTACATACTGTTATTGAGTAATTTATGTCAATCTCATATATGTGTGTATTTGCCATATAAGGGGTGTGAATTTTATTGTGTTCACCAAGAACTAATACAATAATTTGTTTATTATTGTTTGTCAACAAGTACACATGTGGTAGAGAATTTTGAGATTTGTTTGACAGGATAATGTGTGCACAATATTTTTGTTCAAAACCATGTAATTAGAAAAACTTATAACACATTTTTCATTATTGAAGTGAATGAGTAAGCACATATGGAATTCAAATTTATATACACCTTTTCAGCCTGAGGCTATTTTCTCTTGTTCTGACACTTTTTACCAGGGAGAAGAGACTGAACTCCTGTTTACAGCTTCCTTTCAGGCAGTAGTAGAGAGTGATAATCTCCGCCCTGAGCCTCCTTTCCTCCAGAGCAATCACCCCCAGCTCCATCAGCTGCTCCTCAGCAGACTTGTGCCCCAGACCCTTCCCCAGCTCCCTTACCCTTCTTTGGTGAGATGATTTCACAATTTACCCTTACTGTGTAGGAGCTTATTTCCCAAGATAATGATACAGGGAGGATGCTGATCAGAGCCTTGAGCAAAAAATGCAGGTTCTGGATACAGACTACAGGCAGGCCAATAGTTTCAGCAGATTAGCAGGGAGCACATCATTGCCTGTTCCCCTCTGAGCACAGGACTTTCCAGCTGTTAACCTTGAGGATTCTCCACATGACAGAGAAGAACAACAAACTGGAGGGAAAAATAGAAAAATAGGAAAATAGGTTGCTCTACTTTTCACTTGGTAGTACTTAGAGTTTCAGCAGGAGTGGAAAAAAGCTGCCAGATGTCCACAGAACATTGAAGGAACACTTTACTGAATAAGTTTTTTGCTCCGGACACACATGAGTGTTGTCTTCCATGCACATGGATTGGGATAGATGGTACAGTAAAATAAGGAGGATGATGCATCTGAACAGAAGCGTCATGTCAGCTCTTGAGGGTGTGACTCACACCTATAGGAACTGAGAACAATTATCACAGTCCAGCTCAAGTCTATTAATAAACTGCCACTCTTCAAACCAAACAGGTTGCAAGCAATCTGCCTTTAGCTGTGCCAGTTTTGTCTGGCCAAGTGTTGAAACTGTTCAGGGAATGTCATGAACACATCAAATTCTTTATTGAGGCTGTCCTAAGACATACAAGCATAGAGAATTCAGTTCCAGGAAAATTGTCAGGCATTCTTGCATTTACTAATATAGCTGATGCCTATAAGTTCAACATATAACTGAGGGCAGGGGGCAAATTTTGAGTAAGGAGACGTTTCTTTCTGTCACATGCCACCACATAATCCATGAGAGCAGGTCACGTGGAAAAGCAGCATGCACTGCTGAACCTTACATGTCTGTAAGGAATGGTTTAACTGCAAATTGGGAATCTGAACAGAGTATGGGATTGAATTCATACATATGAGAAGTTTGATCACAAACACAGGAGTCCAGCCCTGCGGAATCTCTGCTTTAGAGAGATTTAAAAACTGAGCAGGTAGAAATGAAATATAAGACCCAAGCAGGGCAGCACACTGAAGCATGAGTCCTGCTAAGCCAGCAGGACTGTGGCAGGTATGTGAGCTGGAATCACACAGGGAACTGCCTGGCATCCGACCAGCAACTCAACCCAGAGGTGACTTTTCATCAGGATGACTCTGGAGCAGCAGAGGGCACGCAGATAAATAGCCTGACAGAGTTGTGTGAGATATCAGTAACACAGCTTGCCAGCCTGCACAGCACGTTAAAATAAGACACAGGCACTGCAATGACTTCTGAGAAATGTCACCCTGCATCTCATGAAAGTGCTACCACAACAGATTTAATAATAAATACAAAAACACAACATCCATTGCCAGAACAAACAAAACATTACAGACATTGAACAATACAACACGGGGTAACTCAAGTTATCCTAGAGTGTCTTAAACACCTGCAGCCTGACCTTGCAGAATCTCTAATGAGAAAATTACTCAAACAAGCAAATATGAAAACAGACATTGCACAAAGAAGTGGCAGAGTCTGCTCTGCACTTCAGTTACAGGAAGACTCAGATTAAACCAATTTTGAGACATGAAAGATGCTAAAAGGGGAAGAAATTAAAGAGACGTTTTCACAAAACATCTGTAGCTGCTAAGAAAAAAAGATCTCAAAAGACTAGAAAGTAAGTCCGCTTAAATGTGTAACTTTGAGAATAAAACAGGAGGGATATTTAATTCAGGAAAATATTGTCTGATTTTGAGAAGCAAAAAACTTAATCCCTGAAGGCATAGAATAATCTGCTGTCTGAAGGTATGGTGGAATTCCCTGTCTCAACATGTCATTTTATAATCACCCAATTATATTTCTTTTTACCCTTTGTTGAAGGCATAGACCCACTCCTGTCAGTGACTTAAGGAACAGCACTTAGACATTACTGGCATTCACAAAATGTCTGCCTAGTCTTGTAGGTTCTTCCCTTTCCTTTGTACCTAATCCTGACCTCAATTCTTACGTGAGCTGATGTTTCAGAGGTTTACATTTTCCCCATCAACTTATTGAATGTCAGAGGAGTTCTTAACATACGTGCTTAGGATCTCCCTTCCCAAATACCCAGGGAGCTTGATCTGTGCTCAATCCATTCAGGAGAGTAATAAAAACATTTTGTTTTTGTTTTTCCTTCCCTATCTAAGAATGGAACATTTTGGGGTGGAGGTCAGCCTAGCTCAGGAAGAAATGCTCAGCTGTTTAAAATTTCTGTAAGGGGAGTGGGAGCTGAAAAGAATGAGATAATTTCCCTTTTCTCTGGAATTCTTCCCAGGACAATGCATATTTTTCTAGGGAAAGTGTCAGCTAGAGTTGTCTAATTAGAACACTGCTTCATAATTACAATGGAAGAATACTAAAACATCGTTTTTAAGCCTTAAAATTCCCAAAAAGTTAAAATTCCCAATATTACCTCCATATGCTGCATGGTTTGGGATGAAGTTTATCATGCCACCATCTCACAGTATTTCAGGATACTATCAAGACAGAAAGCACTTTAGGTCTTTAGTTAAAGACCTTTAAAAAGTTAGGGAGATCTGACCAATTGGAGAAAGACAGTGTAAGGAGTATATCAGAGGCTAAAATGGTTACAAACCACAAAGATAAAAAGAGACAACTTTGTTTCTCTGAATGAATAACTTTACTTCCTTTACTGAGCAAGATAGAATAGTTTTCCCAGAATTATTTCAATATTATGGAATCCTAGGAAATCTCTCTGTTTTGCTTTACCACATTTAGATGTCAGGCTCCATCCTTTTAAGTATTTGAGTTTAGCATAGTGTCACAGGGAAATGAATATTTTAAAAATGTAACAATTTTAAAAATGTGTTTAAAAAATCCTCTCTAAATACCTCTCAAAATAAGGATCTTATTTAGTTATTATGTCCTGGAGTGTGAATGAAAGAACAAATATCATGTAGCAGATGTCAGCCAGCTTCCATAAGTTTGTAATATAAGAATCCATTCAGAAAAAAAAACCAGTTCTCTTCAGATGGAGTGCATTAGTTCAGCAGCAGAACAAGTTCTTCTACATTAATTTCTATAGGTATTTTTGCAATATGGCAACAGCTCTTATGGAAACTTTGTGGACACCCTCCATACAGAATAGTTCAATTCAGCTGACATCCTGGAAGTCACTCCAAACTGTGAAACTACACACTTACCTCCTTTTCATCATTCAGAAATCAGATTTTTTCCAGCCACTACACAGCAGTGTCAGTGCAGAGCTGCATGCATTCTGATGAGGGCACCACAATCACAAGTTTTCCTAGCTGCAAAAAATCTGCCAAATAAATGAGAAGGGATGCTAATCTGCTGGGAAAAAATGTCTTTATTTTTCCCATCATTTGTGTTGCATGTTTGTTTGACACTAAGAGAAAAGGTTAAAATATTTGTTATTTAAAGGTTTCTACAAGTTGAATCAGAATTGTGTTTGCTTTTACTCTTCATTTATTTCTGGCTATCAAGGAACAATGGGACTTGATGAGTCAATATATAGCTCTAGTGGGAATTGGAATTGTTCAGAGTGAGATGTTGACAAAATATTTCCCCATTGTTTTAAGCTTTTTTTTTTTAATGTATTGTGTTGACTGTTCACCATGTACTAGAAACCTAATCCTTTCTTCAGAGACAGCAGGCATCACGCATCTTCCCATTAAGAGTCCTTTTTACTTTTCCTTTTTTCTCCCCCTGCAAAAAATACCAGGTGCACCTCTTACAGGAGTCAGCAGGAGAGAGTCTTGGACAAACCAGTGGGAAATACATGAGTTCAAAGACCTCAAACCATTTTATAATGCACTAACTCCTGACTGCTCTTTTCCATTTTCTTGTGTGAATCAGCAATAAGCCACAGAAAAAATAAACTTACCATAGCAGAGAGATAATTTGTTAATCTTTGTAGAAAGATCAGAGCCTGAAATATTTGCTGTTCTTATGTTGGAAGTCAGGGGACATTGCCAAGCTCAGTGCACCTCTGTCAAACACATCCCAGGTATCTCTAAGCACAGACTGGAATAGGAGTGTTGGTTCAAGAGACACCGAAGGGTTTGGGCTTTTATAGCTTTGCACTGGATGTTGCCTTTTTTTTTTTTTTTTTTTTTCCACTGGTCAGCCAAATACATATATCAAGTTTCAGACTGTTTGGAATGACCAGTTCTTAATCTGAACACAGCAGCTCAGCCACACATCTGCTGTCAAAAATTGGCATAGGTTTCCTGATACCACAGAAAATGTTTCAGCTGAAGTACTGGCAAACATTTTAGAACTCCGTGGGTCTTACCTGACCAATACTCAGCCAGTGAGTCCCCCCTAGTGCTCAGTAATCTTTTCTCACACAATGTCACATTCCATTGAATCAGCATGAGCTGCAATTACAGAAGGAAGGATAATGAGTGTACTGAAGCCAGAACAGCTCACCTGTGCCATAGTGGGACTAAGATTTTCACAAAAAGGGAAAAGTATTGCTGTTTATGGATGGAAAATTAAGGAACTCTTTATTGTTTTTAAAGTATTTTCTTTGATCTGTAATATTGTTTCTATCCTTCCTTTTTTTCACCTCTGTAAGCAGTAAAAATGAATGACCACATCATTCCTTTTACCTTTCTTAAAAACTAAATGGCTTTGCAAATATTACAGTATCATCAATATCATCACTGAACTAATATAGAGTTAGGGGCCAAGATTTCCTTTTTCCTTCTAATATTTGGCAAAGTTTCCTAGAGAGAAGATGACAAATTGAGGGGTGAGGGGCTGAAATCACACAAAAATCTTAGATTTCACTTAGATTTTCACATTTATATTCTCTTTAGAAAAGGGAAACAGAAAGCTTAGGAAGAGACAGAGCAAATAAAAAGAAAATATTTGAAGCTTTATATTTTTGCTAATATTGAGGGTAAAAAAAAGAAGCAAAACTAAGTCCTTACTGGCTTGTAGAGAAGTTTTATAAAAAAAACTAAGGTAAAATTATTTTAAATTTCTCTAACAAAACAATAGAACTATTTTTGTTAGAAGGGACCTCCTGTGGTCTCTAGTCCAACACTCAGCACAAAGTAGAAATAGGATAAAAATTAAAGTTTCCCAGGGCTTTTCATTGCTGAATTATGAAGATTCTTCAGGGTCCATCTTACATTCTTGTGCAAAGCTCCCAGGAGGACCAATATCCACGTGGCCCTTGGCATGCAGCAGTCAGGCAGTGCCAGTGCCCTGCCCTGTGCGGGTGACAGTCCAGCCTGGACAGGTCACACAGCAGCAGAGCCCTGTGTGGGGACATTGTCACAGCCCTGAGGGGGGACATTGTCACAGCCCTGTGTGGGGACACCGCCTCAGCTCCACAAACACATCAACCCCGTGACTGTGGCCCAGTGCCAGAGATAAAGCTCTCAACAGGTCTCAAAAGCTAAAATATGTGTCATTGAGCAGGTATCTTTGCACGTCAGTAATGACCAAAGTCTGGATGGGTTTGTCAATATTTCAGTGGGCCTTTTTCCCACTGAAATGTTGCCAGTGGGTAACTCGGAGGCACACTGCAAGGAATTCATTAGCCAGACAAAAGAGATGAATGGTTTCCTCTGATTGTAAAAGGCATTGTACTGAAGACTTTTCAAGCTTTCTTTATTTAGAAGTATACTAAAGGATTTGTATAAAAAGTTTCTAAATTTAGAGAAATCTATTCTTTCTAAAACTTCCTCCTTTTTTATCCATCTCATTCAGCTAAATTTTATCAAGGAAAAGACAAAACCTTCATTTTAGTGAAAAAGATTACCAAATTCCAGTCTGAACAAATTGTAAATGCAAAGACCTAGAGAGAAAGTAGACAAAAGGTATGGATTTCCTAAGCTATTCCTCTTTCTTTGACTGGGACAAGTTTAGTACTTTCAGAAGAAACTGAAAATTAAAATGAAAACCTAAGAACTTGAGAATCCTACTACCAGGACAATATACATTATTTGCCAAAAAAAAAAAAATCCCACACCAGTACAACTTTAATATGAAATAAAAATTTGCAACTGGAATCCTAAATGCTCCATCCATGAATTCTGAAGAGATCACTTGAAGCAGCCTCTCAGACAGTCTGAGAGCTTGTACAGCTGCAGAATGCTTTAGTGAACACTCTATATTATCAGCACCACCTAGAGTGAATCACCAGAAACAACTCCAGCCCCAAAACTAATATTCTTTACAAAGCATAACTTCATTTCAAAGGAGCATTTTCCAGACTTACCTTCAAAGCCTTCCATTCAAGTAAAGATGGTTGAAACAATAGAAGAGAAGCAATGTGAGACCATAATTTTATTATTGCACCTAGAAGACGTCAAAAAAAGACATCAAAAAAGCATTTTAGAATCAACTGAACTCTGTCTATTTGTTCTGGTTTAATCATCAGCAGAAATTTTCTCAATCAAAACATTGTTCATGATGATGAGGAGGAAGAGGAGGAGGAGGATGTCTAAAGCAAAACAGAATCCTGTTTACTCACTAAAGAAATAGAAACACATTGTTGTGGGGTCTTTTATCAGTAAACTATTAAGAGCTTGAAGGTAGAACTGAGTAAATAAAATGGATAATATAGACAGTGAATGTTTATGAAGTAGTTGGTTTTATCTTTATTTATGCACATTCTCTTTACAGTCTGCTTTATTTAGACACCTCCTTTATTAAAGGCAATTCCTGTACACAGTCATAATACCAGAGAATGTTAGGAAACTTCTATTATGGATGCATATTGATTTTCCATTATTTTCCATGTAGGAAAAAAAATTATGTAAATAAAGATTCATTTACACCCATCCAGTAAACTGAATGGTTTACCCTCATCCTCTTCCAGTTTGATGCCACAAAAATTAAATGCAAAATTAATAGAGTTATACTAGTAAATGTGTAGAACTACTCAGTAGTGAATTAGGCCTGTAATTTGGAGATTATTTTTATCTCCATGATTTGTCATATCAGTTAATGCTTAGTTCTGTTAGTTTTCAGAAATATTTACTTTTCAACCCCCCTGAAATCCACAGGAACACTGTACTTGATTACAGTTCTGATAAACAGACACCTGGCACTGATATCACACTTCCAAAGTTACTTATTTTCATTTTTTAAACAAATCAGTCACTACTATGGCTGTGTAAAGACCTAATGGTGACCTGTTTTTAACAATAAACAAAGTAGTAATATAAGCTTAACAAAACAGGGAATTTTCTTGCATTGCATATATGCAAAAATTCAGCCATCAACAAGAACTGATTGTTCATTTCTGGCAAGTCAGTGCAAAGAGACTGAAAACCGCATGACTTTGTGTGCTGCTGACTGAAGAATATACTGACAAAAATATAAAAGAAGAATATACTGACAAAAGTTACGAGAATAATAATCTACTGACAAAACACAACTTTGTGTCTTTACTGCAGCTTGTGGTCTGAACATTAAGCCTGAGAAGTCAGTCAGTGCTGAAGGGGATGAGAACAGCACCTGTCTTTTTGCAGAAGACAGCTCTCTCCAGCACCAATAGCTCAGAATTCAGAGTGCACTGGTGATATTTATTCTGCTCACTCATCTTCCCCACCCAGCAGCAGTTGCCTTCCTGTTGCCTCTGGGGTCCACACACCTCTGCTGTGGGGAAGTTTCTTTTCCCTAGGAAGGGATGAGTTTGCCTCTGTCTCTCTCTTCCTCATCTATCTTCTGACCTAAAAATACTTCTAACACAAATCAAAACAACCTGCATGCTTATTTTGCCCTTAAACGTTGTCTTCATGCTGAACCTTATATATTTACTCTGAATATATTTACTTATATATATACTCTGAAGTTAGAACATTGTTACTAGTGTTACTGAATAATTGGAGAATTATAATATAATTTCACATTTATGCTTTTCATATAACCAAAATACTTCATAAAGTGAATAAGTATAATTCTAGAATGAATTATAGTCTTTCACTCTGGTGAGATTTATCTAACTTAAATCCTTAATCTTAAGAGAAAGAGCAAAGAAAATGTATTTTTTATCTTTTAGTTCTGACAGTAATTCTACACTTTTTCATTGTCACACTATTACAGTAGATATATTTTATCAATATACTGCTGACACCACATGCCAAGTAATTTTTCCATCATATCGCATAAAATATTTCTATAATAGGACTGCACTATGAAGAAACTAAGATGAAAGTATTATATCTGTGAGGAGAATCTGACCCGTGTCCTTTCTTAAATAAGAAAAGGTGTAGTGCTTTCAGCCAAAACTGATAACTGCTAATAAAATAATTTTTATTAGCAATTATTAATATATTTTGTTAGCATTAACAATGGCAAAGATGCTGACATTACTCAAGGAATGTCTGCATAAAATTATTACAATTACAAATTACTGTAATGTGTTCTTTACCACTCCAAGAAAACAAATGTACTTGCCATAATATGAAAATACAGCAAACATTCCACATGCAAGTTAATAAATCAAAAATAATAATTCAAAATAATCGATCAAAAATATCTTTACTGTGTAAATTCAAATTCTGTCATTTGAAAATATAGGACACATATATTTAGAGCTATGACCACTGAGAAAGATGAAAACCAAAAATTGTAAATGCTGGGTTTTTTGCTTCAGGGCATGCATACTGCTTCACAAGCTGAAAATTTTACTCTATAGTTATTTCTAATCTTATTTCAAGACATTTTGCACATTTTTTTGGAGTGTGTGAAACAAAACCTCCCTGAACAAGATGGGAAATCTATGCATGCCTTGGTTTGACATTGAATGGATAATTTTAATTCTATGATATCATAACACTTCCTTTTTGTGTTCCTATGTAAATGCTTGACTACAGCATCTCCAGGTCATGTGACAGGTGAAAAAGGACCATTTGATTTGAAAGCTGACCAGAGAGGTCCAATGGGATTTTAAAATTTTCTTTGAGCCCTGGTGGTTGTCCTTCTGAATGAAAGCAACTGGTCTGATAAGAAGTAAATCAGCTGCATAAAGAGAATTTTTAACATCTCAAGATGGGCAGTGGAGCCAGTTCAGAGAGCAAGGACTCAGCCAGGAGATCCAGAGAACTGGAAAAGAAACTCCAGGAAGATGCAGAGAGGGAAGCCAGGACAGTCAAACTACTACTGTTGGGTAAGTAGAATAAAAATTGCTCATAATGCTTTCCCATTGAGGGGTTGTTTTTTCTGGAATTATATTTTAGTACTGTGAATTTCTCACCTCTCACTATTTTATTTGAAGAAGACAATTTTGTAATATAAGTTTAAAATATTTTCTGGTTGTGGCTACTCATGAAGTCACAAGGAATGTGCTGGAAATGGCTGTGTCACTGCATGTATTCAATTTTAAATGTTATAAATCCTTGACTTCGAACACGTTTGAGAAATGAGAACTTGCTGTTAGAATAAATGTTATGTTACAAGCTTACAGAGAACACATCACACTTATCTCTTTTTTTTCACCGATCTATATGCATTCATTTGCAGGAGGATTAAGTTAGATAAGGGGTTACATAAAAATCCACGTGTCACAATATATTGATATTGTTTATCTTCCAAAGTGTTTCATTCGATTTTTTAAAGAAGCAGAAAGAGATTTAGAATGTCTTTTTTTGATGTATAATGGAGTGTGGAATGAAAAGTACTCAGATGAATACAGATAAATATTCTCAAAAACTACTACTTTTAATCCCCACTATGATCAATTTATTAGCAGAAAGAAGCTGTAATGACAAAAGAAAATACATTCTCTTTCTTGATACAGGTTTATTATTTTTTTCCCATGGTGCTTTGCAGCTTACAAGAAATATCTGAGAGCACATTAACACCATCACTGTCCTAATATTTTTCTTCTAACAGCCTCCTGTAAAAGTTAACAGTGGTTTCTCCCAATGAATAGAAAAACAATCTTTGATCATTGGAGTGTTTCTATTTTTGCCTTTCTTGCAATTGCAGTTCTTGAAAATGGTTTTAATCTGACATTTATTCAGACAAAACTAGATTAGATAAAGTAAATCAACTCTGTTGTTTTGTATCTAATGAAAAAGGCCTATTTATACCTGTTAAAAATCCAACAATTATTTTTCAAAAATAAATAAGAGAAGAACATACAGGTTTCTCAAATAATAATAGGAAAGCAGAAGTTTGATACTCTAGATGTAACATCAGTATTTGGGTTGTGGCTTACAAAGCTTTTCAGTCCAGTCAGGAATACTATGAGTTTCTGTACGGCAATAATACAAAATATTGCTCCTAATAAGGAAAGCTTCAGTCGGTCAAAAAAATCCCAGAACTATATTTTCATTTAAAATTCCATAAATTTAAAGTAATCATTATCTATTCTTACAAAAAGAAATTGGGACACTGAGTTAGAGCCAGGATCCATCTAATTCAGCATCCTGTCTTTGACCTTATCCAACTTTATCCATGAGGAAAAAGTAAGAAATCCTTTAAGAGTAATGTATACGATAAAGAGGAATTTTCCAGATGAAGAGGAATTTATAACTTAAGCAGTTTTATCTTCAAGCTTTTATGCCCTTACAGTATTACTGAAGGCTGTTTTACAGCAGGACACCAAGTAAATTTATGCCCACCCACTGAACATATGTATGTATTTAGTATTAAGGATTTAAGTCTTAAATGTTTCCTAATGTATATAATCAGTCTTCTTCTGACACTATTAACAGCAGCTTTGAGATACTTTTAGTAAAATACTTTGAAATTCAATGCAAGCTACATGAAAAAACATCTATTATGTTCATTTCCAACTATGTTCAAACCTGAACATAGTTCAGTTTCATTAGCTACACAAGCACTCTTTTCATGAGACAAGATGATAATTTGGATCTGAAATACTTCTTTATGGATTTTTGCAATATCTTCCTTTACTCACATCACACATGATAAAAATTCAAATTTTTCAGTGGGTAATGTTTTGGAAGGCTTTTTTTGTCCTGAACAACAGACCAGAAAGTCTTCATAAAAAACATATTGAAGAGACAAAAAAAAAAAAATAATGCTTAATAACCTAAATTTTCCTCCCTTTAAAAATATGAGAGGTGAATAAACTGTGTATCTGGAGCTTACTGTGCCACCAGAGAGAGTCTCTTGAATGACTGAAGCCAGAGATGCTGAAGCAATGTGCAGAATAGACACCATATCCTTCCACAGGGACACGTGAAATGGCCAGATAGAAAAGGATTAAATCTACCATGTTCAGATTTGTACCTGTTACACACCTCTGAAGTGATATCAGAAATGATACCAATTTTACAGTTCATAAATCAAGGGCAGCTTTGTTCAAGCCCACCTAGTCCTACCTAGTCCTAGCTTTCTGTTCAGTCAGACTTTATGTTGCCTTTATACTTCAGACCAGATGTCATAGTTTCTTTTTGCAATAGGCCCATTGGTAGAAAATACTCAGAAAAAAACAGAGATGTATATCATAAACTTTTCAGTGTAATCACTTTTTTCATTACACTTAAAATGTAAAAAAAAGCAGTACATTTTGACCCTTTTATGAGAGGATTATTTAAAATCTAGTGTGATGTCCCTACAGCCAGTATATCCAGAAATTATATCCAGAAACAAGGCACTATGTTTGTTTATGTCAAATTCTATGACCCAGACAAACACACTAACTGGGCTGAGATGATTTACAGTTTATATGGTAGGCACATATAAACTGGGGAGGAGGGAAATTATGTCAGGTTCTGACGTTCCTCACAAGCTGGCCAGGAGCCAAGAGCTGTAAATCCTCTCTTCTAGGCACTCCCATGCTGCCAAAACCATCCCTTCCCCCAACATGTCCATGAATCTGGTCTTTACGTATTTATACTTCAAAAAGATCAGGTTGTTGTTTTATGAGTCTGGAACAAACTCCAAGGTGAAAGTTTTATTTCCTTTGTATCAGGGCTATATCTGGCCTGCCACATCACCTGTAGTTTGCATTTTCTTTGTGGGATGCCAGTTTTCAATTTATAGGTGTGCAAAGTGCAGCACACATTCCAAACATGGCCAAAATAGCTGATGCTCACAGTGATGTTCCACAGAAACAAGAACGTAGCTTCAGTTTAAACAATCATTAAAATTTTAACTTATTTATTTTCAAAGTATTATTCCACGTCTCATTATCTACAGTTTTCAGTGTCAGGACAAAAGCCACTCTCAACAGAACTGATCATCCTCACCTCATCTTTTGGGATACAACTCGTACAATTTAATTTAAACATCTGCCTCAGGGTAACAGAAATTGAATCTGTTTCATTTATTGTTGTAGCAAATATTTCTCTCCACTGACTATAAGACGTCTCTGGTAAGTAGTCTGAATGTAGAAATTTATAGTATAGATACTTAACACCAGTTAAATGAAACAGTCACTGTAGTACCTAGCCTGAAAACACAGGGTTTGGGCACAAAGACAGCCCAACAATCCCACTGATCAGAATATACTGATTTGCTTTTTTGGAGAGTAGGGCAGTATTTAAGGATGTTATTCTCTCAAGAGGGTAAGATCTTAGATTGTTCTTTTCACAAGATGTTTTCTGTCATACACTGAGTTTGTTGAATCTCATAAGAGGACCAAGAAGATATGATTTCCATTCTAGTTCATAATATCCAGACTTCTGAATGGCACAGGCAAAGACCAGGCAGGGGTGTGAAACATTTTCTGATTTTATTTGAATATTTTTCTTATTTGAATATTTTCTTTTCCTGCTTTTTGATGTTTTATGTCAGTGTCAGTGGGTTTTCTGACAGGTTTTAAACAAACTATTCAGCAGGGTTTTTTATTTCCCTGTGTTTAATTCTGGAAAATTTTCTAAACTAAACCTTTCCTTCCACAGGAATAACAACTGTAAAGAGATAATAATTCTTTATCTAAGACACAAAGCCACCTTAATATGGAAAAACCTTCCTCAATGTTTCAGCAGCTGCTAATCTTGAAAGCTTGTACTCTCCACAACTATTCAAGCAAATTCTGCATAGAAAAACAAAAATGTCAAATCACAGATCAGGGCCTGGGTTCTGTTTCCTCTTGAATTTGTGAGATTCTCACTGGGTTTCAAAACACCTTCATTTTTTTCTCTATTTCTGCTCTGTCTACATTCCATAGTGTCCTGCAGGGAAGAGGCTGAGCACTCCCAGAGCAGGAGGGAGATTTGTGTCAGGCTGACAGGGGGACAGCTCCTTTGCAGCCTTGCTGCGTGGCTGCTCTTCAGTCCCAGGATGCCCAGAACCATGGTAGGCTTGGGACATGGTGGGATGCATTTCTGGAGTACCCAAAGTAAGAAGAGAAGCAGGTTACAGCCTGCCAGAGTTCAGCACCTCACTGAATGTGGTGTGCCCTGGGGCATGGTGGAGGTGATCTCTGGGAAGAAGTGTCAATGTTATCAGCAGCGGGGACATCTTTCTGCTCCCAGGAACAGTGCCAGAGTTTCAGGCATTCACTGAGACTTTTGTGCCAGTATTCTCTGTGCAGTTATCCATGTCAAAGGAATGGAGACAGAAATGAGGAGTAAATTTAAGTTAGGTCTTATATATGCAAAATATAAAATATGGTGATGACTAAAATACGGTGATACCTGTCAGGTGGAGCTATAAATCTTCAGAGCTGACTGAGCTTCTCAAAACTCTAATTAAGTTCTTTCTGAGCTTCAGGACAAGACTTTGTCTGAAGTTCTTGTCTATGATTCAGAAAATCTAGGCTTGAAGAAGATGGCTTCAGCTCCCTGTGTAATCACTCTAAGGTCTTTTGTGATGCACTTTTCCCAGTATTTCTGCAAGTAGAAATCCACTGCAGCAGGTGGAAATGCAGCCCTAACCCTGGTTTTCCACACCAGAGACTGGCCAAAGAAGGAAGCTACATGGTGAAGGGAAGGAATTAAAAAAACAGGTGCAAATAATTCCTGACCTACTTCTGGGCATGAAGGTGCTGCTACAATTAAGATGATACTGCATGGTGAAACCAAAGTCTGAAAGTCACCTGTTGTTTAGATAAAAGCATTATTTGGGTCATAAATTAAAGATGAGCAGAGGTAGAAAATTGCATCCAAAATATATAAATGACATCTCTCACTGTATTTTAACAGTGTCTCTCGGATCTGGAAGACAAGTTAATTCCTATATTATGTTTCCTGACATCTTTCCATGAGGTGAATGTACAAATTCTCAGTACAGACTCCTCTCTTCCCTACAAAAAGTGTAGCAAACACTACCTTGCAGATAGGGCTTTACCAAGTTCTTCATAAGGTCACTGAAAGGATAATAAATTATCTACAACAAATTTGCATTTTTTCCAAACTGTGGCAGATGGCAGCATCAGCCCATTTTGCATGGCTTGCTTTTCTCTTGCACTTTCTACGATTTATATGATGGATTTCAGAAAATGCTTTGAGTATGGTTTACTGTCTCTTTTGATTCATTTGAGTATATTATTCCCTGTCATTTGAATATTGTTACCTTTACAGAATGTGTTTGAAAAGTCAGCAATCAGTTTGTTCTATTTACTAAGAAGTCCTTGGTAAAAAAACCTAGGCCTCGGATTTTGGTTTTGTCAGAAGTATTTGACACCATACCCTGAGGGACAAGGTAATCTACCAAGATATGTGATTAATCTTTTTGTACTTCAGCAGAGCTTTTGATATTTTCTCTCACAAGAGATAAAACATCCAGCTCACAGCTGGATAACCTATTACACGATGGGAGAGCAACTGGCTCCTGGACCAGGCACAAAGGTTTCAGTGAGTGGGGGGACATCAGGCTGGGGACCTGTCACTGCTGGGGTCCCACAACCATCCTCAGCCTGGTTCTCTTCAGCATCATCTTCAATCACTTGGGTGCAGGACTTGAAGGAAGTTTCTCAATGAAACTAAATTTGGATGAGCTGTCAATTCCCTCCAGGGCAGAGAGGCCCTGCAGAGAGATCTCAACAAATTAGAGAGATGGGCACTCACCAACCACATGAAGTTCAACCAGGGAAAGTGCTGGGTTGGGGCAACCCTGGTTCTGTGCATAGACTGGAGAATGAGAGCCTGGAAAGCCTTGCTGGGGAAAGGGATCTGGGGGTCCTGGTCAGTGGAAACCTGAACATGAGCCAGCAGTGCCCTGGCAGCCAGGAGGGCCAGCTCTGTCCTGGGGGATTCAGGCACAGCATCAGCAGCTAGGAAAGAGAGCAAAGATTCTAGTGATGAATATTTCAGTTTCTTTAAAATATGAAGAATATTTGTCACCTTGAGCCCTGTGCACAGTTAAGTTATTAGATAGCATCCAAAGGAGGGCCATGAGGATGGATGGTGAAGGATCAGGAGAGGAATCATTATGAGAAGTTGAGATCTGTTCAGCCTGGAGAAGAGGAGACTGAGGGGAGATCTCACTGCAGTCTTCAACATCCTCCTGAGGAGAAACAGACAGTCAAGTACTGATCACTTCAAGATCAGTGGCAGGATTCAAAGAAAGAGCATGAGGTTGTGTCAGGGGAGGTTTAGGTTGGATATCTTCACCCTGACTGTGGTTGGGCACTGGAGCAGCTCCCCAGAGCAGTGGTCACAGCACCAGCCTAGAGAGTTCAAGAAATGTTTAGACAATGCTCACAGGCAGAGGGTGTGATTCTTGAGGGGTCTCGTGAGGACCAGCATATTCTCTGATTTTATGAACCCTGTCCCAGGGATTCACTAAGTTCTCTTCAGATGCTTTCAAAATCCATCTCTTTTTTGCCAGCTCTTGCCAACCCTTATCATTCTCACTGACCGAAGGTGATAGTCACTTGTGTTGATTTGCAATGGAAACACTTTGCATTGTGATTACTCACTTTCCATGAGATAAGAGGGCAAATTAGCAGTACATAATCTGGCCAAACCTATGCCCTAGTTCTTGTACTGGCTGTGTAAGCAAATGCCTGCACCACTTCAGCAGCTGTGGGGTTTTCCTGCAGAATCATTCCCAAGGTGGAACAGGTGGACTGCTCTGCAGGTTTCCCACTTCCAGCCACAGTACTCCATGGCAGAAATCTACATGGCAGAGGAACCAAAAAACAGTGTCAAGACTTTTGCTCATATGCTGCCTCTGCATCATGAGCTAGACCACATATAAATCTTTACACTCTGGTTTTCCAGTTGATCAAAGAAGTGGCTAAAGGGCATGAACCTGGCTCACTTGGCTTATAAAAGGTTGTAATACAAATTAAAAGAGCAGCAACAAATCAGGTAATAATGGGACACGATCAAAGGCTGTACTTTGTTCCTGCCCATCTGCCAGAGATGAACTCAAAATATTATCCATATTTTTATTTACTTGCTAACAAAAAATTCTGTAATTTTCTTTAATTGACTGAATATTCACTTCTTTTCCAGTGTCTCTTTCCTTTTCAGTATCAATACTTTAACCCATACTTTGTTTTTTTTAAATCTAAATGGACATTCGGAAGGGTTCATACTTAATACAATGAGAAACTAAGACATCTGTTCTTCTTTTCATAGATAGAAAAATCTGTGTTCCAGAGAGTTATTTTTAATACTTACTTCTTATTCATCTATCAATCATATCTTCTCAACATTCCCCTTCTGCAGGTGCTGGAGAGTCAGGAAAGAGCACTATTGTAAAGCAAATGAAGTAAGTATCTGAATATGCATATTAGCTGTTGAATTTGGTATTTGTAGTATAAGCTGTCTAGCTAAAGTCTTATTACAACATTTGTGCTTATTTGAATAAAATGCAAAGAAACATCATTCAAATCAGGTTTCCATTCAAACACCCTGTAAAGAAAATCACCAAGTGTCTGAGACACACAGGTGGATTGGTAGTCAAATTTGAATGGACAAATCATGCACTGGGCTCATGCACGGACACCAGGGAATCTGCTTCCTTGGCTTTGGTGGGAGTTGCTGTAGTGGAAATACGACTGTAAGAGACAAGCAGTGATGGCTGAACCACCTGGCAGGCCCTGTCTCCAGCAGATGCCAGTGAAGGATGTTTGCAAATCATCAGACCAGCCAAGCCAACACACTTGTGCTGGATACCCTGGCAGCGTCTGATGATCTGTGGCTTGGAAACCATCCTGAGCTGGAGACAGCACCACTCTGTCCCTATGGCAGCCCTCATGTCTACTCCTAATTCTTTTATTGATCCAATGTAAACTAACAACATCCACAGCATTCTACAGCAAGTAGTTCCACAGTTTACACTTGGTGTAAACCATCTCTCCAATTAATTTCATTTTATTTCACTGTATTTCAAGAGTAAATATCAAAGAATTCTCATTGTACCATAGAACTGAGAGGGGTTTCTTCCTGGGTTTTTTGGAGGGAGTAAGGTTCTTTTTTCTTTGGGTTTTTTCTGTTTGGTTGGTTTTGGTTTTTTTATTTCATTCGTTTTTGTTTTCTTTTTTGTGGTTTTTATTTTTTGGTGTTGTTTTTTTGGGGTGTTTTTTTTGTTTCATTTGGGTTTTTTTCCCCCAAAATGGCCTCTGTAGATCATTCTTGGTCTTCAGAGCTCCTGTTGAGGTTAAAAATGTCTCCCACAGGCCAGGAGAGAATGCATTTAGCCACCAGCCTGCACAGTGAACAACTGTTACCCTCTATACCATGGGTAGGGACTGATATAAGAATTGCTTTTAGTAAGAAAATTATCAAGACAAAAAGTTTTCATACAATAATCAATCTAGAAAAAAACCAGGCTGTACAAGCTGATGTGCAGAAATCCTTGTTCTAATCTGGTTACAGAGATATTATGAGTGCATAATAAACCTATTGCAAGAATATTTGTAGTTGTTTGTTCATAGTGCACAAGGTCCCTCACAGATTGAAGTCAGGAACTTCACTTTCCTTAGCTTCAGAGGAAGGTTGAATCTCTCTACATGTGTGTGCTGATTTACAATTTAGTTTGACAATATTATTTCCATATATATTAAAACAGGTTACAACTAAATTCATACACGTTTTTCTTTTAAGGGCAACCAAAATGCTAATGTATCTGGTTTAAATTAATAATCCACCAAAGTTCAAGGGACCATACTTGCACTGATTGCAAATGCTCCTTTACTGCACAACCTGATAAAATATTGCTGTTGTGTCTATTCTTATTTTCATAGAGAGGTCCAGGTCTGATTTCTAAACCTGTAAAAATACAGAAAAAATTACACAGGGATTGCAGCTGTTTAGATTTGATTGCACTTTGTAAGCACCAATCTCTTCCTGTGCAAAAATCAAACAAACTATTTTATGAAATCTGTGATACTATTCTGAGCTTAAGTTCCCCTACCTATTTATTATCTTCACCAATACCTATTTATTATATTCAACAATGCATTTTAAAGAGTTACGTAAAAAAAATTAGGTCATAAGAACAAATTTCTACTATTTAAGCCACTCATTTTGTAATAAAGAAGATTCAGAACCATCCACCAAATACTTTGCTAGCCTTTTTTTTTTTTCCAGTTAAATAGTAGATAAATTTATTTCTGGTTTGAGTTCCATGCAGGAGACCCTCCCTATACAGCAAGCCATTGAGGTGTGTTGTGCTCAGTCTCCCCAAGCAGGAGCAGATTAAAGATGTTCCTCTGAACTGAGCACTTTAGGAATGCTGATAAGCTTTAATAGCATGGAGGAAGAGGAGAACACTGCAAAGCTGAGAGTTACATATAAAGACTTGTGCATTTATGACCTGTCAAATTGATCACAAATATTAATTCTTTTACAGGAAAACTGTTCACAAAAATTGTATTTTTTCATATAAAGTGTCATCTTTCTGTCACAACCAAGGATTTTTAAGGGATTTTTTTCAGTTAAAGCTCCCAATATTAGTTAATTTTTTTTAAATAATGCATAACAGGTTCTAAAGAACACTGATAGATGTTTACAAAATAAATAATTTTGCAAAAAAAAAGTTTACAGCAAAATCATAGTAATTTCATAACTAATAACATAATTTTATACTTAATAAATCCCATTTTTTTTTAGACTTAATCAAAGTTATATCCATCCACTAAGCTTTAAAAAATATCTTCTGATACTCAAAATACAGATATGCTGCAAGGCCCTTGTGGCATAAAAAGATGAGGATGGTTATAAGAGCCACTAAAAAGAAAAAACCATCTCTGGAGTTCTGTGCTTCTAACTGCATAATTTCTAGTGTGCTATCTAGCTTTTCTAAAAGCAAGTTGCATATCTCTGTACTGTGCTCTTACTTAGCAGTATAAAGTTTCTACAAATAATTCAGTGACTTAAAAGCAGGAAGCAAAATATTTGGTAACTCATCGTGCCTGTTGAGACTGAATCAAAGCCACCTATCTGATGAGAAGCCCTGCTTTTGTGAATAAAAACCTCAGAAAATTGCATCCATAAAATGGGGAGGCTCTCTGCTCCATGACACTTTGTTTTTTCTTTCTCCCAAGTTCAATAGGACTCCTTTGAATCTTGCAGAATTCTTTCAAATTCATGATGAAAACAGCAATAAAAAAAAAAGGCATGGCTTCAAAACAGAGTTCATGAAGTTTCCTGATCAAGAAGTGATTGGGAAAACATTTTAGAGAGATTTTTTTTTCCTACCAGCACAGGAATGTAACTTTTGAGTTTTCTGACACCCATAAATCAGAGAGATGTTAAGACACATCAGTTGTCATCTAGGTTTTGTGTGTGTGTATATTAGTGAATTGTTTTTTGACAGGGCTGACTTGGCTACTTAGGTAGCTCTCTCCAGAATGTATCTCGGGCAAGATGGGGTAAAACACCAAACCCCACAGTCCAGAAATTCTGTATTTAATGGCCTTCACCTCTGACCAGCTGAGGTGAGGAAGAATAGAGCCTTGGTTCCAGCAGCCAAAGCAGTCCCAAGTCTGTTCACTGAGAGCACACCAGGCCAAAGTGGGTGAAGATTTCATCCTTTTCACAACTCATGGAAAAAGAAGTCTCTGAGCTGTGACATAATCTGCACACTGATTTGGAGAACTTTAACCATATGCCATTCTCCAGTCAAGGAGGATTATGAAATTCTAATTCCTCTGCCAGAAAGATTACTGAAATTGATTACTAAGGCTCTTTACCCTATGGAGTAAAATGTAAGTCTCCAAAGCCTGGAGATAATAAGAATAAGACCTTGTCATAACTGGAAACTGTAGCTGATGCACAAAGAATTTTATTTTTTTTCTTGTTTGGGATCTAAGTAGAGAAATGTCTTGCCCTATATCTCCAGGCATGGGTCTGGCTCTTGTTCTAGACTCCTACTTTGTTTTAGATTAACCCCCACACAGAAAAAACCAGCATCTATTCACTCAAACTGGGTGCAGACAACTAACCTCACAAAGACAAAAACTGCTGTTTTCCTGTTCTAGCAGAATAGGCAGATCAACTATTGATAAATGCTTTTCCAAGGGCCAGATGGATTCAGTTCTTTCTCACATTGACTACAAAATGAGATCTAATGTAGCGTGATCTAATTTGTCTAACTTTTTTCATGTATCCCATAAGCCTTTTGTTGGTTTTTTTTCCACCAGAATCATCCATAAAGATGGCTTCACCTACGAGGAACGCATGGAGTTCAGACACATCATTTACAGTAACACAGTGCAGTCTATCCTGGCCATTGTGAAAGCAATGACTAAGTTAGGAATCAGTTATGAAAACCCTGATAGAATTGTGAGTATGACACCCTTTCTCTTGAAATAGCTATTGGAACACTTTTTTGTGTGTGTGTGTAATGTAATAGTAAAGACTAGTAGAACAAAGAGGATCCAGTATTTTCTTTATGACAGTGGAAACTGAGTTCCATTTGAGTTATATGTGACAAAATGTCCTCACTTACTTTTATTTTCTCAAAACTGATGCCTAATTTTTGCATAAACTCCCATTCTGTTTGCTACAAAATAAACATTCAAGTTGCAAAGACATTAAAAAAAAGAAAAACAGAAAAAGGAAAAAAAACCCCAACAAACACAACCTTTTCTTAGCTGCTTAGTCACTTATTTATTGCTATTGAGAAATGTAAAAAATATTTTCTTTTTATGACCAAACCTTGGGGTTCAGCCATGTAAGTTAAGGTTATGTAGACATGTTGGGACAATTTCAGTCTGTCATTGCTGCTGGAATAAAGACCTGTCTGTTGTGTGGATACACTACTGACACACTGGGAAGTTGTGTCCAACATTCCTGACACAGTCAAAAATCCTCTGCACAGGCAGATGGAGGCAAATCCACGGGAAGAAGACCTGTAATCTCCAGTCAATCACGCTGAATTTCCAAGGACAGAAATAAAGGAAAAACTTTTCTTCTCTGTGCAAGTATTTAGTCTTTTAGCCTGTAATTCAGATCTTGCTGAGAATTTCTCAAATGCCTGTCAGAATATCAGTTGATTCAAGTTTTGGCAAATTCTGCCTAATCCCTAGAGGTTTATCTTGGAGGGAGTAACGTCTGTTTATCCGAAAGAGCTTTACTTGTTCCAGAAGTCTACATTTCATTATAATGACATGTGGTACTTTGACCTAGAAAACGATAAGCAAAATCTTCAGAGGTTGCTAGAGCTCTTACTGGCATTTGACAAAATAGAAATTAAATATTTTCTACAAATGCAGGTCATTCAAACAAATGTAACAAGTCCCAAAAGCAGCACACAGAGAACAGGGCAATGTCAATGTGCTGTACTGCATAAGGAGCCATCCACCACCCTGCATGGCCCAAGCCATGGCTACAGCTGGACCTTGCAGCACTGGCCACAAGTCCTGCCTGGCTCAGCCCATGGTCTCCACCATGTGGTGCAGACTTTGCCACCTGTTACTGAGATTTGTTCTCCCTGTGCCCCAGTATTTCAGTCTCTTTTCTCAACCCTGACAAATTTTCTGAGGTATCTGTACAGGCTCACTCTCTGCCAGCTTCACAGATACCCTTTTCAAGGGACTTCACAGCATGGAGAACTTTTTAAATAGCCCAGTCCATTTCTTAGCATTATACATAACCAAATGCAGAAAACACAACTTTTGTAAGTTTGTCATTTATAGCACAGTCAGATCACTCTTGCTCTCATTGCAGAAAAGGCTTCTAAGATCATAGTTTAACACAGTTGTATAGAATGTTTGCAGTGCCTGTCTTCTTTTCCCCCAGAATGACAGGAGAGCAACATGGATGTGATTTTTAGAGAAAATATAAATTTTAGTTACATTTATTTTATTGCCACTAAACATTGCCTTTTCTTCCAAAAACCTCCAAAAACTTAGCTTACATTTCCCATAAAATCACAAGCAATTGATAAGCTTTAGTTGTTTCGATATAAGCTGTGATTTCAGCTGGACTTTGTTTTTGCTGTGTGTTCTGGTCCAGATTTAGCTGTTCAAAGTCATCTAGTTCAAGGACTGGGATTATTTTGGTCCCAAAAGCAATGTGCTTATCCATGTTCCAGGTCTGCCTGCAAATACATCTTACTGGTATGGAAAAGGCCTTAACACTTAATTTAAACAACATCTTTTCTGGGGACTGAGGTAATTTTTTCTCTCTAAAACATGATTCCAATCTATTTTAGTGTGAAAATCATCTGAAGTCTTTGTAAATGCCAGAGAGAAACAAAAATTGTACAAATCAGGGTGATAATGTGATAATTCAATCTGCTGCTATCTTCCTTTATTATTGTCCTGCTTTAGGGCAAATCTGGGAGAGAACCTCTGAAGGGGTTCCTCTAGAAAGTAGATTCAAGCAGCCCCTCCCCAAAATGGTTCAGGAAAATATTTCCTTGGAGAAAAGTGGGGAAAAAAAATGTTTATTTAACAGGCAAAGCATTCACCAGCACAAAAAAAGAACAACATTAAACAATAAAAGCTCTTGCTGCTCTGCAGAGATGGCAAACACAGAAAGTCCCCTTGGTGGGCTGTAGCTCAGCTCACCAACTCTGTTATCAGTCTACCCAGCGCTGGGAAATGCCATGGACCAGACCCAGCCCAGGGGGCCACAGGTGTGAGCTGCTGGTGCCCTTCTGGGTTTTCAGTCCAGAGCAGGTTTAAACAAGTGCAAAGAAAAAGAAAAAACAGAGTTCAGGGAACTTCTCTGCCTCAGCTAGCTAAAAACTAACTAAAAGTAAAGGAAAGGTCTGTCCCGCTGTCTGTCCGTCCGTCCGCAGGCAACACAGTCCAGGAATGGGAATGTGGAGGAGTGAGTGCAAAAGAAAAAGAAAAACCAGAGTTCAGGGAACCTCTCTGCCTCAGCTAGCTAAAAACTAACTAAAAGCAAAGGAAAGGTCTGTCCCACTGTCTGTCCGTCCGCAGGCAACACAGTCCAGGAATGGGAATGTGGAGGAGTGAGTGCAGTTTCTGATAACAAACACTGCACTTCTCTCCCCCCTTCTCTCTCAGAACCAGCCTTAAAGGAGCAAAACTTGTTTCTGGGCTAAACAGATGAATGGAGATACAAATATCATAAATAACATGATTTCACCTCTACTTCTTATTATTCTTATTACCAGGACAATTATATAAGCACGAAAATCCGCACTTGTCCCCTTTTGCATAATAATCAATGAACATTTACCCCCAACATCTAGAGACTCAGAGTTCAAACACCATAAAGTCACCCCAGGATATTTCACCTCTACTTCTTATTATTATTATCAGGACAATTATATAAGCACAAAAATCCACACTTGTCCCCTTTTGCGTAATAATCAATGAACATTTACCCCCAACATCTAGAGACTCAGAGTTCAAGGCTTCTTATTGTAGGTCACTCAACGTACAAATCCAGCCTAGTAGGTGGATAGCTGCAATCATTCTGTGATATGTCATATCTTGAAGCAGAAAACGTTCCAGCTCTTATCTTTCTGCTGAACAAGTGTGCACCCTGGAGACAAACGCGGGGCACACACGAGAGAGTGACTCGCTTCTGCTGATCCCAGCACTGCAGGAGGGGATGGGGGTGTAAATGGAGCTGGTGCTGTTTGATGTAGAAGGGCTATTTTTTTTTATCCTGCTGTCCTCCTCCCTCTTTGCAGTGAAGACAATTTTCTAGTGGTTATTTCCTGGTTTTGTTTTTTTTTCCTCCATGCCTACTCAATTTCTCTTTTTTTTTTTTTTTCCTTCTCTATGCCTACTCAATTTCTCTTTCATAAAAAAATGCAGTGTTTAATTTTTGATATGTCTCTGACTTTTATAAATTTTCCACAAACTGCAGTCCTCATGAGACATAAAGATATAGCACATTCCTAAAATAAATTTGTTAAACATTTTTGTGAAGATGCTTCCTGGTTTTGAATAAAACATACTCCCTGCCAAAACAGTGTCTGTCAGAATCCATTTATGCTTTTGCAACTATTGATTGCAAGTCACTTGAGTTGTCTACTTCTATGACTAAGAAGGAGTTATATTTTATAATTATCCCTTGCTGTGGCAGTGTATCAAATGACTATTTTAATCATGCTCTTTATTTACAGTAAATTCTTAAGCCGTTAACTACTGAAAAGAAATATTTTTAATTAAATAGATAATTTAAAATATTTTTATTTGACTACAAAAGGAAGAAATTACAGAATAATATCTTTAAAATATTTGGGATTTTATTCTGTACATGTTTCTTCTTCCCCACATATGGGAAATGCATTCAGAAGTTATAATCACTTTGTCACATTTCTTTCTGGGGTCAAAAGCCATAAATTTTTTCTTACAAACATATTCAAAACCACCTTTAGATATAGATTTCTGCATTGATATAGTTATGTTTCAAATTTAAATTTCCTTTTTAATTTAATTATACCCTACTACTTTCTTAATATAAAAGCCTTCCATCCAAGTTGGACTATTTGTGAATGCCTACAGCCAGGTTAAACTGAGCCCTCATATCAAAACAAAACAATAAAAGATGAAAACTCTGTGTATCACAATTTCAGCCTAACTCTGGCACTACCTAAAGGGAAGTGAACCTGCAAAAAGATGTTTACATGCACAGGCGAGTACAGCAACCTGGAAAAACCAGTGAAAATGAGAAATTTTGCCCTTTCAACTCATTATAAACCCAGCTCATCTTCAAGGAGGTGAAGGGGCACAGCGTGCTTGCACAATATTTACTGAAATTTCTCTTTAGGAAGACGAAAAGAAGCTGTGTGCCATGGCAACAGCTCTGGAGGATGGCAGCATGTCTTCTGAGCTGGTGGAGCTCATCAAGCAGCTGTGGCGCGACGGCGGCACCCAGGCCTGCTTCGTGAGGGCGGCGGAGTACCAGCTCAGCGACTCCGCGGCATAGTAGGTGACACCAGCTGCTCAGCAGCTGGCTTCTGCTGCTACAGTACCTGTCCCCCTTGCAGAACAGCCTGTGGAAATCATTGCTCGTTGTCCTGGGAAAATGAGTGGGTTGCTAAGGTTTATAATATATCAGAAATGTTTAACCGGAGGAAAGAAGTGAAAACAAGGTTTCAGAAACATTTTTTTTCCATGGGTTTATTTGAGTGCTTACAAAAACAAAGTGTATTCTCCCTCTGAGTATTTTAAAGATGGACAAAATGAGGGAAAGGTGACTTGAAACAGCTTAGGTTTTACCTAGAGTGATTCTTTGAATATGTTGCAAGATGTTAAATATAAGTCTGGAGGAAACTATAAAAACTTTCCTCTAAACTAACCCTGCTCCCTGGGCCACTACCACTCCAGCTGAACCAGTGGTGCTGCAGCTGCTCTCCAGCCTGACAGCCCCAGGTCCCTTTCTGAGCCCTGGAGGTACCAGAGAGACAAGCAGGGGGCTGACCAGGGCTGCTCAACCCCACCTCCACAAAGGATCACCATCCAGCTGGGACATATCTCTTACCTCAGATGTATCAGTGACTTCAGATTTTTCAGGAGCCCCTGGCTTGGCTCCAGTCCTGCTTGGCTTCAGTCCTGCTTGGCTGCCTTCTCACCCAGCCCAAGAGAAGGGAAGAGTCACTGGGTCAGAGTCTTTCGAGAGTGCCCAAGTCTGATGCCAGACCCAAGGCAGAGGTTTGTTCCAGCTGAGGTCCATCTCTGGAGACCAGGAGTTGGAGGCTTCCACATTCCTGCAGCTCCTCCTACAGGCTGAGGGCACCTGCAGGGTGAAGTCTTCCAAGAAGAGTGCTCAAGTCTGACGCCAGACCCAGGGCAGAGGTTCCAGCTGAGGTCCATCTCCAGAGACCTGGAGGTGGAGGCTTCCACATTCCTGCAGCTCCTCCTACAGGCTGAGGGCACCTGCAGGGTGAAGTCTTCCAAGGTGTTGGGTGTCCCTTCTGCAAGGCAGGAAAAGAAAGGCATGGCTGCATGTTGGACTTCAGGGGACAACCTGAAGTGATCTGTGGTTCAATAATTGTAGATATAGTGCAGGGAACATGCAGAGAAAATATTAACAATTCTTCATCTTTTTATAGCTTCCAAACAAGAATGAAGATCTTTTGCAAGAGTCCTAAACAAAGAAAATATTGCTTATGTTGATTTGTGCCTGATTTGACATAATTTTATAGCACTATTGTATTTTTATAAGGATGGTACAGAGCAATTTTTTTCTACAAAACCCTTTCTGATAGGTTCCACTGCCATTTCCACGAAAAACTCAAACAAACAAACCGGTCATAATAAGTAAAAGGAAAATTACCTCTTAAATTTAAAACAAAATTTAAACCCTGTTTACCAGCTAACACTCTTCTGTGTTCCTTCTGCCAGGCAAATAAGCTTTGTTGTCTACAAAGAGGATAGAAGAACCTAAATTAATTCCCTTTCAGTGTTAATGTTTGTGTCCTGTTTTAACTTGAAATAGATTTCAGTATTTAAGGAGGTTAATACAGATTTAAGGGGGTTAATATAGATTGTGTAGTTATTATTTATTTCTAGACTTACATTAAAAACAGCTACAGTGAGATATTTTTCATCTGCTTGAACATTTCTGCTAATTTCTTGAAAATGCTGCTTCGCTGCCTTCATCTTTTGGTACCTGATGCTTCTAAAATTCTAGCCTTTGGCTCTGAATCATTAAAATCAACTTAATGTTTGCCCTTACTGCTGGGCTTCTAATGATCAATTCAAAGTCAGCCACAATCAACCATCTAATGCTGTAGTTCAATTTCTTTTAAACCCCAAACCCTGTTTCTCAGTGCCTTGGAACCAGCTCCTACATAGAATCTTGATTAATACTGTGTAAACTCTGATTTTTGGATGTTATGTTCTCTGAGATTTTTCATTATTAATTCATGCTAATGAAGTTTGATCACTGCTTTTCTTTGGTGTGTTTTAATTGAAAAAAAAATATTTCTTCTGAATAATAGAGAAGTTCCCTCTTTGTCAAATTTGGCTGGAATTTCTCCCTTAGACTCACCTGGAACTATTTCTGTTTTAAAATGGAATGATGGGTATGGAAGGGGCAAGATTGGGATTATAAATTCTGACTTTATATGTCATTGTACAGCTACCAGCAGTACATGGTGCATCTTGCTAGCTCAGTCATTTTCCTCTCAGGGTAGGATTCCTGTCACCTCATCCAAGAGAAGGAAAGATGAGCATTTACTGACCCACCAGGTTCCATTCCCTCCTTTCCCTGTGAGGAGATGGTCTGCAGTCTCCCCTTGGAGCTGCCTACGGCTCTAGGAGGAGCCTGAAATTGCCACCTGCTCCTTTAACTAGATAATTGACTTGGTCTAATTTTTTAATGCAATTACAATTGTCTGTGTTGAATTGAATTTAGGCATTTGTGGCTAAGAACTATCAGAACTTTATTTTATATTCAATGTTTATTTTAGTGCTTACATGTTTTATAAATATCAAAACGCCTTTTGTTTCTGCCTTCCACAAAGGCAAGCTCAGATGAGTTTGCCTCAGGCAAACATAGCTCAGAAAGAAACAGAGCTATATTGCTTTTTTTTCCTTTCCCCAACAGATTGTTTCCTGGCCTCAAATAATGGGAAAACATTGAATTACTCAGATTAGATTCAACACCCCTTGCAGCCTGGATACAGTTTATTCAACTTAAAATAAGAAAATCCCATTTCCAAACATTACTTGGAAATATCCAAATGAAAGAGTCGAGCTTTTTTGAAATTTTATTTTATTTTATTTTATTTTATTTTATTTTATTTTATTTTATTTTATTTTATTTTATTTTATCCTTCTATTATTTTTTTTAATTACAGATCTATTAAATATTGCACACAAGGATGACGATTTGTGAGATTTCTTTTGGAAGATTCTGGTTAAACTGAGCAGCAGAACTTCTTGCTGGGCAGACTTAGTGTAGAGAGGAAAAAAAAAGAGTCTTGGAGCATAACAGCCATTACAGACACTGTGTTTGTTTGCTAGAGACAAGAGGCTACAAATAGGAAGGTGCCAACTGGACCCTGAAAGTGTTTCATCTATTTTGTGGCTTCTTGTTTTTGCCTTTGGTCTTTATTTGAATATTGGTAGCTAAAATGCAGGAAGTTACTCAGGCATCACCTTTTTCTTTTCCTTTTGTCAACTCATAATCCCTCTGCACAGATTCACAGATCAGCCAGCAGGATTCAGAGGCTCTGCCCAGCCACTTAAAGAAAGTTTTCTGCCCCTATAAGAAGCTGGAGAAGTGTTGGACAAAAACATGCTTCAAAGATGTGGTTTGGGTTGTCATATAATGTCGATTTTATCTCTGTAGACCAGAAGTAAAAGCAGATAATCCACAGTTTCTCAAGGGCTCTTCGGAATGCTAACCCAGGGGATCCTCAGCTTCATTGAAGCTTTTGGTTTTGACTAAAAAATATATATCTTTTTTTTCTTAAATGACCATGTACCTTCTTGTTGTAAATTGAGAGGTCTATGGGAAAACAGCCCTTAAAAGTGAATTCCTCCAAAATATTATGCCCTCCCTTCCACTTAGGAAGGAAAATACCGTTGCAACCCATCTGACAGGCTGAGGTGATTCCTTAGGCATCTGCCTCTGCAGGATGCTTGTGGTTCTTGCCCTGAGGTAGCAATTCCCACTTGCTGAGAGAAAATGGCCAAAACCCCTTTGCTGACAAGGTGGTTTTCAAGCACCTCTAAGGAAAATAAGGATTTTCCTTAGCTGCAAATCTCAGAAAGATGTTTATTATGTGCAATTGAATTACATTTCTATGTACAAGCTAAAAAAAATAAAACGGCTCTGAATTGTGCAACACAGTTGTATAAAATCAACAGTATTGTATTAAAATATGTATAATGGACATTTTACTTTTTGAATTCACCAACAACCATTTCTTTCTTACTCTCCCTAGTTACCTCAATGATTTGGACAGGTTGGCAATGCCAGACTATGTCCCTACTGAACAAGATGTCCTGCACTCCCGAGTGCAGACAACTGGGATTATAGAGACTCAGTTTTCTTTCAAGGATTTAAATTTCAGGTATGAAAGCCATATTTTACAGTTTTCTTGGGTTTTATTTTTCTTAAGTATTTTCTATCACAGGTGTTGACTTATTGTCACACAGGTGATATCATTGTGTTATCATTGAATCTAGTCTTATTTAACATTTTTACACAGTTGAAAAAGCAAGATATTTTATTATCAGTACTCCAGCTTTGAGCATATAATGGACCATCACAAACAGGTCACAGAATAGTAGGTTCTAAAAGGGCATTTTTACATATGTAAATGTTTAAAAAGCTTTAGTTATATCCTGCCATTTGAATAATTGTGCCATTTATGAAATTTGCCTACTTAAATGTCCTTAAGAGCATGCAAAAAACATTTGATGTCTACCAATTTGCACACACTCTCAACCTTTCACTCTTCTTTTGAGAATGGAAATAACTATAACTGCTTTTAGCACAGGAATGTCCTACAGTTGGCAAAAAAAAAAAAAATTGTCCCATTGGAAATTTCAGCATTATCAAGCATATCTTCATGCTCATTTAAGACGAAAACAAAAATGTTCAGAAAAAAAAACTTTTGAAAATAATGCCTCTGAGAAATTTGACTGAAATATTTTGCACTTTCAGATATTCGAGTTCTGTTTATGCTTGGTGAACCAATTAAAAACATCTAATTGCACATGAAAATGGATTTGAATGAATTATTATCATTTCAGAGTTCTATAATGTTTTTCTCTGTGGTCTGAAATCCATTTAATTCTCAATTTAAATGCTGGGGTGCATATTGAGGAATGCAGTCTAGACAAGAAACTGCCTGTAGAGACAGACAGATTTATAAAGCATGAGGATTACAACTTTTACATTTTTCATTTGGCTTCTTTCTTTCTCCTCATGTGCCAATTAAGCATTCCCCAAACCATCTATGCTACCACACAGATCCTTTAACACAACAGAGATTGCACTACAAAATGAGATCCTGAAGTAGATGTCTTACAAATAAATAATTATCATCTATCAATAATCTGGTCACTCATGAAAATTCATTATTTGCCCACAAATGCTACACTGCAATATCATGGACATCATCTTCTTTTTCTCTGATTAATGTATATCCAGCTTTGTACATTGGAAATTTGAATGCCTTTAGTTGCATCATAGTTCATGTAAGAAATCAGTTCAGGGTGGAGAAAGAAAACCACCAGAGGGAAATCCTCATTGACATGGATGCTATCAGCCCTGATATGAGAATATCAGCATTAATGTTTGGGTCTAGCTGAAATATAGCTCAACTGGGAATTTAGTTTACAAAATATAGTCTGCAAAATTTAGTTTACAAAATTTAGTCTGCAAAAAAGAGGAAGGCTCTTAAAGCCACAACAAACACAAACCCCACAGTTTTTACCCTCTGCTGTGCATCAGAGTAGAGTTTTGTGAGTAAATTCATTGGTGGTTTCAGGCAGTTGAGTAATGTTAGGCAAAATCACTACAAAGGAGTCTGAGGGGTTTGAGCTGCTAAAGGGGTGCAGAACAATTATAAATCTCTGTTAACCAGCCAGGTACTGCTGCTTTGCATTGCCATAGCAATCCAAACAGCAGGAGGATCCTGATGTCTCTGCACCAAGTTTGATAAGTACCATAGAAACATCTAAAAAGAGAGGAGCACTTGCACATTCAGAGTGAGTTTTGGCTGATGTACTGATGGGGCTTCAGGTCACAAGCCATGCATGGAAACAAAAAACCCATGAACAGATGCCTAATTTGCTAAACACTTGTCCCTTTACTGAACTGAATGAGACAGAAAATATTTTGTATCTGCGCAGTAAAAGTCTAAATCCCAGTACTGCTCCCAGGAACTGAATTACAGTTGCACAGAAAACATCGATTTTTATTTGCTCCTTGCTTAGTGGTAACTTTGCTGGTTTAGTGCAATTTAGCTTCCATGTGCTCTTCAATTTATTTCACTAATATTGCCTTATAGCCCAGAACATATTTAAATGCTTTTCAAAGGAGATCTGATCTGCATGGTTCCTCTTCTAGTGTCCTTTCTATTGGTGTGCTAGGAAGAGTTTGACTGAAATCAGGCAAGCTTTATTTTAATCTTCAGACCTCTCTGTGTGTACCACTGAAGGAGTATACAGCTAATTCTGTATCTGCAGCTAAGTTTTTCAAGAGCAGTTCTGGGAAAATATAGAGACATCTAGACTAACTTTTAATATCTTGGTAAAACAAGATCACCTCATTTTCTACCATTTATGGACGGACTTTGGTTTACATACGAGTGCATTAAGTTCTGGGCTGAGAAAAGAGAAGCAGACTAAGGTTAGTACAAAAAAATCTGCCCTTAAGCATTGCCTCTGGCCCTTGGTCTTGTCCTTTTTAACTGACTTCTCATGAATATTCAAAGAGCTATATGCTAAAAGTTCCCAGGAAGTGAATACTGATTCACATGATTACGTATACTGAAACAAAACTTTCCTGAAGTCTAAATTTTGTAGATTTTATTATTTCTTTTCCTGCCATAACCCAGATTTCAGAGTCATACACCACAAATCATGAAAGGCATGTAATTATAGGTGACTTTTGAGTACTAATCAGAGACAAAATCAAGATACTTTATTTGTGCTGACCCCACTCTTCAGTAGACCTTCTGAACTCAGTGAAGATATGCTTGGAAGAATGTAATTACTATTATGAAAATCTTCCTCCACAACAACTTCCTGATTTCCAAAATAATTCACTTTTATTGGCACCCAATAAAAGAAAAAAATATTAAATGTCCCAGAAAAAAAAAAAAAATATTACTCCACAGCTTCAGAAACAGTTAATTATGAGCACTGGAAAGGGTTTTAATTTTTCCTAAGTACGATGAAAAATTATAAAAAATACCCTTTTTTAACATCAAATACACTGCTGATGGTGAAGGAAACAAAGGATTAAGATACTGCAAAAAACAATGTTTTCAGTAACAAATTATTCTTGCTTTGTTTACTACTGACATGATTGTTTCTTACTGAATCCCATTATATTTGTTGCTATAAGAATTGTTTCATTTTCAGATACTGCAGGACCCAGAGATCTAATGCATATTCTTGAAGGAAGGGGTAATCCAACAGGGGATTAGGTTTTACAGTATTAAATTCAACAACAGGAGGCACAGAGAAAACTCATCATATACACTAGGAAACAGAAAACCTAAGGGCAGGATACATTTGATTTTTTATGTTTTCCTTGTTTTCTAATGCACTTGAAAAATCTTCAAGTTTGGCATCTTTTGTTTCAGAAAAACAGTGAAAAGAAAGCCCTAGCCCTTATCACTGAAGAACTGCAAATGTGAGTGGGAGTTTTGGAAGCTAGGGCTAAGGGCTCTAAGTAAGCCCCAGCTAGGAGTGCCCAAATGGCTTTGGATCCCACAGAGAGTCCATACAAAACTCATATGCTACTACCCAAAGGTAGTAGCAATTCCTGGCAAAAGTGGAAGGAAATTATTGCAGGGAAGGACAGCCCTAAAATTCCCGCTGTACGAAGGAAGGGATTCCTGCTCTCCAGGAATTGCTGCTTAAGAGCAGCTAATGAAGGTGAAGAGACCCTCCAAATGTGGGATGCAGATTATGCAATGAGCTCAGTGATCACTCCAGGGCAGTGAGATGAAGGCAACACCTATTCACGCACAGCCAGGGTCAATGTGTGTCTGCCCTTCAGTCCTGTGTCTGATCAGTCAATATGTCACTTCACTGCAAGCAAAGCCATGAAGTAATAAATGATACTGAATTTGAGGGTCTTCTATCCATGTCTCAGAACTCTGCCTAAATAAATGCTAGCCTGCAAGTCTTAGTCCTGCACTGAGCCCCGCTTCCTCAACACTTCCTTTTCTGGACCGCTCAGTTTGGGAAGGACATTGAGATGCTTGAGCGCGTCCAAAGGAGGCAATGAGGCTGGTGAGAGGCTTGGAACACAAACCCTGTGAGGAATGACCAAGGGAGCCAGGCATGTTCAGCCTGGAAAAAAGGAGACCCAGAGGTGACCTTAGCTCTCTACAACTCCCTGAAAAGTGGTTGCAGTCAGGTGGGGGTTGGTCTCTTTCTCCAGGCAGCAACTGACAGAAGGAGAGGACAGAGTCTCAGGCTGCATCAAGGGAAATATAGGCTGGATATTAGGAAAAAGTTTTTTACAGAAAGAGGGATAAAGTTCTGGAATGGCCTGCCTGGGGAGGTGGTGGAGTCACCATCCCTGAATGTGTTTAAAAAAGAATGGATGGCACTGGGTGCCATGGTTTATTTGAGGTGTTAGGGCATGGGTTGGACTTGATGATCTTCCAGGTCTCTTCCAAACTTGTGATTCTGTGAATTCTGTGAACACAAAGTGCCACACGTAAGTACTGAGTATTAATCCTACATGCAGGTATTTAAGCCTTTTTATTTCATTTTATATGCACTACAAAGCCATGAGTAACAACACACAGCACTTCTTGACCTTTTGGGGTAGAAACAGACCAATATTTGGAAAAGCAGGGTATGTGTCATTCATCTCCATTTGAACTCTGTGCATTAAAAGCATGGCTACATCCTTATGCGTGCTTTACATTGTATATATGCTATTTTTTCTGCAAAGGATGTTTGATGTGGGTGGACAACGATCGGAAAGAAAAAAGTGGATTCACTGCTTTGAAGGAGTTACTTGCATCATATTCTGTGCTGCACTCAGTGCCTATGACATGGTTCTGGTGGAAGATAAAGAAGTGGTGAGTCAGAACAGACAAACAACCCTTTTTGCTTCTAAGATTTAATGTACTGTGTGATGGTACATTCCCATTCTCTGAGAACCATTTAAAGGCTATTACACTGTACTGGTTCTTTCCAGTAAAGAACATGTCAGTAAAAATGATGAATGGAGATGAGATTTTTCAGTCTCATGTTTACCTTTTGCACCTCAACAGAACAGAATGCATGAAAGCCTTCATCTGTTCAACAGTATCTGCAACCATAAGTGCTTTGCAGCCACTTCCATTGTGCTGTTCCTAAACAAAAAAGACCTCTTTCAAGAGAAAATAACAAAAGTTCACCTGAATATCTGCTTTCCTGAGTATAATGGTAAGTTTGGAGTGTTCAGGAGAAAACACATTTGGATGTTTGGTGTAGGCCATGAATCAAACACTGAGACTTTGACTCATAACATCTATATATAATTCTTTAAATACTAAACCTCTTACCTAAGAATCTCTTAATGAAAGAATGGTATGAGACAGACGCAGCCAGAATTCAACTCATCTCACCTACTCACCATGATTATCCTTGGGCAAGTTCATTTCTCTCCCTGGAATTGCTTATTTCTGTCCATTGGTGGTAGAAAAAGCTGAGAATTAAAAAGTTTCAGATGGCTGTGATGGACTCAGCTAATATTTCAGTACAAGTCAGTATCTTACCACCCACACACACATCTCAACTGAATCCAAAATTTTTGTTCTTATTTTAAGAACTCATTCCATAAGGGAAGTCTGTCCTTTCTTGTATGTCACAGTAGTGTCTACTGGAAGTTAAAAAAAACCACCAGATGTTCCCAGCTGATGCAAGAGAATATATAAGTCTGTGTCAGAAATTTACAGAGAAGAAACAGTTTAGATACAAAATTTTCATACCTAAAGTATGAAGTTAATTCAAATAGAAAGAAAACGGGAAAAAAAGACAGAAAACATTATTTCTTCTCTTTTTGCAGTTGTGATGAAGTACCAGTTGAAATGTGTCTTCTTTTGCTTTTACTTTTCTTTCCACTAGGACAAAATACATTTGAAGATGCTGCAAACTACATCAAGAAACAATTTCTAGACTTGAACATAAGGAAACAAGATAAAGAGATATATTGTCACTTGACCTGTGCCACAGACACTCAGAATGTCAAATTTGTATTTGATGCAGTCACAGACATAATAATCAAAGAAAATCTGAAAGACTGTGGGCTTTTCTAACCATTCATTTTCTTGCTCAGAGTTTCAGTCCACTTTTTTCTCTTCATCTGATGTGCTGACTGAATAAAAAAAAATCCTCTAGGTAAGAAGCTGTATCAGTTAGGCACCTGTTAGTATCAGTGGAGTTCTGGGTTCTGCCTAAGCATTGCAGACCAACATGGATCTTCCAGATATCATAGGGAGATTTAAAAAAAATCTTCCTGTTCTACAAAGATGACAGCTGCTAATAAACCCTGCTGGAATCAAAGTCACAATCCTATTTAAATCAGGATCACAGAGTCATAGAATTCTTTGCTTTGGAAGAGACCTTAAAGATCATCTAGTTCCAACCCCCATGCCACAGGCAGAGATGTCTTCCACTAGACCAGCAATCAGCACTTCTCAGGAGACTGGGAACACCTCAATGCCCTGTGTCTTCCAGTGATAGGATGAAAAAAATTTATAATGAGGTCTAAAGAAAATTATAGCTTTAAACAGTATCAATACATAATTTACATTTTACTTTGTATTCATGTTATATAAACAACTGAAAGTGACATGCCATTATTCAGCAAAAGCAAACCTCCCAGACTTAGATGGTGTATGATGAAAAGCAGCGCAAATCTGAATATTTAATTATATTGTTTCATTAGAAGAGCTGAGGGGCATATGCACAAAACTGCACACATACAAAGTTGACAAAATTCCCAGATTGAGAAAAATTAAACACAGTAAGATGGAGGCAAGTTTTGTAAATCCCTAAGGAGAAAAAAAATAAATTATAATGACTGTCAGTTTCTGCATAAGCCACAAACACAAGCTGAAACATTTTTGGTTTACAATTAAAGATGAGCTTTTCTTAAAAAGCTATTAATAATCCTGCTACACAACATGAATGGCAGCACTAACTTCTACTGCTGCAGAGCAGATGTAAACCCACCAGTTCCCATGGCAAAAGCACATCCTTGGAACTTTGGCACAGAGCACCTTTCTCTACACAAAGACCTTGCTAACGAAGAACTGCTCTCCCTTAACTCCTGTTGATCTATTGTGACTAACTATAGGAAATATTTGACTATTTTAAATAGAATGGGACTTTTCCTGGGTTTCAGCGGGGTTACAGTCAATTTTCTTCCTAGCAGCTGTCACAGTGCTGAGTCTTGCATTTAGTGTAAGAATAATGATAGCACATTGAGGCTTTAGATGTTGCTCAGTGGTGCTGATCCTACATCAAGGACTTTTAAACATCTCATGCTCTGCCAGTAAGAGATGCCACAAGATGCATTCATGGCAAGGACAACTGGCCTGAATTGGCCAAAGAGATATTCCATAACATGGAACATCATTCCCTGTAAAGAAACTGGGGGAGATTGGCCAGGAAGGTTTGGTCACTGCTCAGGGACCCCTGGCAGGCAGTGAGCAGCTGCATTGAGCATCCCTTGGTTTTCCTAGGTTTTATTCCTCTCTCTTTTTCATTCTCCTTACTATTATTATTGTTACTATTGTTGCTATTGTTATTATTATATTTTACTTTATTCAGTTATTAAACTATTCTATATACTATTCAGTTATTAAACTATCTCAACACATGGACTTTACCTTTTCCTCATTCACTTCCCCATCCCACTGCAGGTTTTGGAGTGTGTGTGAGCAAGTGGCTGTGTGGTAATTATTTTCCAGCTGAAGTTAGAGCTTGACAGAGTTCTAAAAATATTCAAATGAAATTTGAAATTTGGCTTTGAAATAACACTTACTTTTAAAATAGACTCATTGATGAAGGGTTTCTTTCTGCCTTTGTATTTTTTTTAATACATTTCAAATTAATGTTCACCACAGACTCCCTGTGATCTGGTTAATCTAATAAGAACAGGGAACTTGGGCACTGAATAGCAGCAACCTGCAAGCTGTCCACATGAGCAGGGCCACCAGGGTGTGTAGGTCTCCCAAAAGAAGTGGGAAGTGAAGAGCCAAAATACATTTTGCATTGCCTGGATTTCTGCTCCTGTCTCATTTGTAGTGCTTCACTTTATTAATTTCTTGTTTTAGTTGAAAACAATATATTTCCAGTGGTAAGGATTCTGGATTCATTTCCAGCAATAAATCTAATTTGAAATGAATTATTTGAACTATGGTGACATCAACATTTGTTCCTGATGCCTTGATGGCATAATAAAAGCCAAGGTCTTTAAGAAAAAAATCCATGAATATCTCAAACATATTCTTCAAGCAAATGCCTGAGAAGTCAAACAGGCTTGACAGCACAGCCTCAAAGCTCGTACAGGTAAGACTGCTTGGATGGGATTTCCAGCTAATGTGGAAGAAGTTTGGAAGGCCAGTGCCCAGTGACAAGAGTGAGCTTTCAGTTCGTGATCCTCCAAGAGAAGAGGCTGCAGGCAGTGTCACCAGGAGCCAGGGCGCTGAGGGACAAGCTGGGGACACAGCACAGGTCAGGGTGCTGGGGTCTCCTGCAGCCCAGCTTGCAGCTCCATCTCCTGGTGACACCGCAGGGATGGGTGCCTGAACCCAGTGCTGTGTGCAGCAGCGCTGCTGGCATCTAACTCTGTGCCTACATCCCAAATAATCCCATTCCAAGGGCTGCTGCTGCCACCCACAGCCCCAAGCCAGGCAGGAACAGCAGCCAAGCCATGCCCAGGAGTGCAGTCTTGTGATGCCTCTAATTTTTCCAGCAGACACACACAGAGGGAGGCAGGGAAAGGGCCCAAGGGTGACAGCTCTTACTGCATGGGGTGAAATCCAGGTCACCTGTCCCTGCTTGGACTGAGTTACACCAGAGAGCAAGCAGGATCACTTTCTTCTCAGTCCTGGCTAATCCTTTAAGATTGTTAAGTGTTTCTGAATGTACCTTGTGGAGTTGTTGAATTTCTGGCTCCAGACACCCACCCGTGGTCAGCAGTGCCAAACCTGCACTGACACCCAGCACTGAAGCCTGACCCTGCATAGCCCTGCAGCAACCTGAACTTGGCCTGAATTCCCTGGAAGGGCCAAGATGTGAGGAGTGAGGAGAATTATGGTGAACAGGCTGTAGTAGAGGACAGGAAGAAGAGTGAAGACTGATATCTGCCGCGTGGGTCTAGTACATGGTGACTTTTTATCCTTTTCTCTCTATGTACACACTTTGTTGTTGAAAACAGAAATTTTTCGCCAAGGAAAAGAAATTTTTGAGATGAGATGGAAACATGACACATGACTTCCAGAAAAAAGATAGCCAGAGGTTTCCAAAAATCTTCCCAAGAATGTGTCTGCACTAGAAAAGGCACTTAATAGAAATCATTCCAATCCCTAACCCTAACTGCAATTTTTGCCTTAGCTAGAGACTGGGTTGATGCCATAAGCTGAGAATGATGAAGAAAAGGTGTCTCCAACAGTCTGAAACCTCCTCAATACACACCAGCTGTACTGGGGACAAAATGGCCAGAAAGGCCACTCAAGAAACACCAAAGGTTTATTTTTCCTTACTGAGGATTGCAAGAAGATTTTCTACATTGGTGCTAAGAGAAAACTGATGAGGAAAGGTCATGTTCCTTTTCAACTCTGAGTCAGCCATTTGTCCTAACAGATTGAATTACAGTCTCTGCAGTTCATACTTTCATCCACTGGGACATATAAATCTGATTAATGTGAATGAAAGTAGCAAGACACTCAGAAAAGTTAACATATCCTTCATACAATGTGTACCTATATGATGCATTACATGTTTTGAAACCACTTTCTGTGACATCATAAAAAACCTTCCATAAATATAGTCCTTTTCTGTAACATTTTAAAAGCATAAGAATGGCATATAAATCACAGGACAGTGAGACTCTGAGGATGAGCATTGTGAAAGCTTCTTATTCCAACCCATTAAAAGCAAATCACAAATTCTGAAGTAGCACGTATGAGAATCCTCTGAGACCTAAGATCAAAGGGCACTTACGTGCTGAACAGGCATTGATCAAACCTGTTAGCTCTGTTTACCCTTGAGTGCAAATCCTGTCCACACAGGAGCAGGGAGCTGTAAAATGAAATTATTCAGCTACAAGAGGCATTCACATGAGATCTTACTCAAAAGACACTAAACTACAATTTGCTACCTCACAGGACTGTTCAGTGGGTGGTTTTGTGGTAGCAAGATGTGTAGAGAGGAGTGAGATAGACTGATACTCTATTTAGTTTATGAGGGGAAAGAACACAGCAGATCTGAGGATATTTTTACAAGCTGTGTGTGTTGATTGGAGCTGTGGTAATGTGCTGCAGCTTAAGGAGACATCATGTTCATTCTAGTTAGAAATAGAGATTTGCAAAAAGGAAGCCTTAATGTCTTCTTAAGTGTACTTTTTCTCCTGTAAAATAGGCAGTTATTTGGCCTGTAAGTTACACCCACAATATAGATGCCATGAAACTGAATTTAGGTCAGAGGTCACCATGAATTAAATGTTAGTGGGTTGTTCTGCATAACATCAACAACATGATGTACTATGGGAGATATAGTCCCTCATGATTACTCTGATTTTTTTTTTAACCTTCTTGTGCTATTTCTGAAAAGCCAACATAATGTTGCTTAGGAGTTCTGCTTAAAAACGATGCTCATTGTATATTGTATTTGTAATAAAACAGCAATTACTAGTTAGTTTTTATGTTGGGTCTTGGAGAATTCCCACTGTATTTTTATGTATACATGCGGAAATGACCAAGTTTATTTTCTTGTCTTGATGCCTTAAGTTTTAGCTTTCATATTTTTTAGATTCTGTACTGCCTTAATGTGTGCCTCTGAACATCATATAAAATGTTAGCAAGTTCTTCTCACAGTTTAGTTAGATAAAACAATCCTTTTCCAGCCCGAGGACCAAGAATACCATTGCAGCTTCAGGCCCAAAAAGTATAAACAGCAGGGAATTGAGGAGAGCAATCTGGGAGGATGGGACTTTATACCTGAAGCTGTAATTGGACAATTAACCTCAATATTTAAATAGACCAAAACTTATAAAAGTGTGAAAGCTCATGACTGGTCATCTATCTTGGGTCCATCTTGGGCAGAGCCGCAGCCAGGCTCTTGCAATGCCCAAGGTGTATCCTTTAAAGGCCTTTTAATAAATACCTACTTTATTCC